GGACGCCTGGAAATCAATTGTGTAAACAACCGCATTCTTCCTTGAGTTGTTTGTAGATCCCCTTGAGCTAGTCCAAACCTCTGAGCATGTCCACCGATCATCTGAGCCTGCTTTGTGAGCTCACTCTGGTCATGACACATGACTTCCAAAAGGTCGAGCCGACGCTGATGAAATCGGGGTGGCTTCACAGATTGCAATTCGGCGGAGAACTGTTTGACAAGCTTCCGAACCTGATTCTTGAAAGACCTATTCACTTCTCCATGAGGACTGGAAAAATAATAGTCATTATCAACATCATGAACACCGCTGTGAACCCCAAAACATTGGCTCTCTACGATCCCGGCTTGAGGGCTTTCACATGCTCGATCAGCTCGTTCAGAACTCCCTCGATGTTGCCCATGCGATGGTGAATCATCTTGTTCTCTTCCATCAGAGCTCCAACTTGGTCCTCCATCACACTCATTTTCATATTGGTGCTGATCTTCTGGCTCATGTCTTCTGCACTGTCGTCGCTCTGAAGATCTTCCCCTTTCACTGGACACCACGATGCTTCCGAAGACACTGGTTTGTTTGCCTTCTTGAAGTTCTTCACATTGTTGGGACTTGTCTCGATCTCGTGGTCCAAGCGTTTCTCCACATAGCTGATGAATTTCTGGTGGGCCACTTTGTCGCTCCTCTCGTACTGCGTCACAAACCATTCCGTCCACTTGTGGTCGGAGTATGCCTCCGTGAACTTCTGGCCCAATTTGGCCTTTCCAAATTGGATTGTTTCCTTTTCCAGCTGGGGAAGGGACATCTTCTTGATTTCCTCGAGCTGGTCTGCTGTCTGATCGATCTCTGTCTTGGTTCGACGGGCCTGCAGTTTCTCGGTCAGCGACTTCGGCATGACGGGATCTGCAGTCACAGCAAGTTGAGACAGGAGCGTCTGTTGAGCTTGAACCGGGAATCTCACTGAAGCTGTCTTTTGATTCTTTCCGACAACTGGACATGAGTGCCTCAGAATCTCCTGCGTCATGTGGTTCATGGTGTGACATGTTCACATGACCTGGTTCTTCATGATTGACATTGGACCTGATACCTGTCGCCTGTTGACTTCCTACATGGCTGGCTTCGGCATGGTGACGGCTGTCACAAGTTTTCAAGGCATCGGACTGCAGGCATGTTGGTTCTTCAGCCATCAGACTGAACTGTGCGGAATTCTCCGGGCTCTCCCACAACTGTTTGATATCCATGAGAAGTAAGTTTTTCGCTGTTCGAGTTATCTTCAGTTCTCTGTTCAGTTTCTTACTCCACAAAACATCAGTATCAGCGTCAATCACAGCCTGAATCCCTTTGAGAAAAGTGCTGGAAATCAAAAAAGGTGTTCGACCATCCACAATTGCTATCTGGAAATATTGAGATCCCAGAGGCATCAAAAGGGCTTGCCTACTGACGAGCGTTTGATGATTTCCAAATCGAAAAATCAAATGGCACGGCTTTCGCTTCACACCCTGTCGGACTCCGTCTGGCAATTGAGCAAGAAGTTCTGGTACCTGTTGGCTGCCAATTACTGTTTGTGAAGCTCCTAAGTCTACCACTCCTACGGATCCAACGGATGCAAACAGGCTGGGGCAGTGGTCCAGGCTGACCAATGGATTGGGCTCAGAGACTTGTTGTCTCCGCACATGCAACCCGGCTAAGGCTTCGCTCACACTGGGCACTTGGCTGGTCACAGGGCTAGAATGCGGCATCTTCCTGGTGGCATGACGTGACATGAGTTGCTTCTTTCCTAGAATATGACCAAACACCTGGTGAACCTGAGAAACAAAACAATCTACCATGTGTTTTGATGCATCATGGTCCTCGATCACTGGCAAGGACACGATCTCTGGAGACACTTCCACTGCGGTCACAAACGATGTCGGCACGGTTGAGGCGGCTGACACTGATCCACCACCTTGGCCTCGTGATGGACACTCATTCTTCCAATGCCCCTTCTTGAGGCACAGTCTGCAGTATGAATTGGCGATCCGATTGGCAAGGGACGACTTCCCTTTTCCTTTCACTTTTCCTTTCTTTCCAAAAACCTTCTCGCCCTTTTTCACACTCCAGAAGCCTCGAAACCTGACCTTTTCCGACAAACGTTTTCTGGCATCTTGGTATGATGAATAGTATGCACACAGCTCAGTATCGTTCTGAACCATCTCTGATACTGCATCTTCAAACTGTAGTACTAGTGCTGCATCTTCATCATCATCGGCGGCCATCGCTTCTAAGGTGCCTTCATCTAAAGAAGCTTCCTCTGTCCAGAAGACCTCACCATCGATCTCCCAGTTGTTCTCATTGGTGTCCTCCATGGTGAAAGCTGTATGGTCATATGTTTTGAGACCCTTGTCACGTTTGTTTCCAATCATGTCTTGGAAGAACCCTGAACCGATCATCCTCACTGCGGCTTCCACATTCTTGACATTCAATGTACCCCCCTTTTCTGCACCTGAATCTACGAGGACACGCTTCTTGTCATCGCTGCTCGGGCGACTTCCACGAAGGAGGATATAGGCTTGGATCTCTGATAAGTCAATCTTTTTGCTAATCAATTCAGTCCAAATCACATCATTTCGAGACAGATATGAGTCGCTAGATTCATCAGACTTCTGTGATCCACGATACAGTGCCTTCTCCACTATGTCAAACTTCTTCCCCAACGGCACTGCACCCCATTTGCCGCCGACTAATTCGACGATCTTTTGAATTCCCTTGGCGTCATTGACTAGGACTTCACTCCTATGTAACTGCAATTTCTGAAAGGCTGTTCCTTTGCACCCCAGGACTAAGCGTGTTGCTAGCTCTAAGATCTTGTTGGATGGCCACGTCAGTAAAAGCAGTTCCACCTTGTTGGTCCATATCTCCACATTGTCGACCGACGGGTCGAAAGTTGGCACAAGGATTGCCAACTGGTTTGGCACCTGCCCAGTGTCGCTGGCTGCTTCACTAGCGGTCCCCGACATGTCGCCGGGCTCCGCTACCAGTTTAGAACTGGTAACGGACCCTGAAACACCTGAATGGTGTCCCTGACACCCTTCCCAAGCTGCACGGCAGCGCTATGTTGTTCTTTTCCTCCAGTTGATTGCACAACGTCCAATCGGCCACGATCGTAATGCCTTACCAAGCACCGAAGGTAAGGAACCAGGCACAAGCTATACCTCTCCCTCCACTACGGGCTCACAGAGCCACCCAGCTGCAAGAGAATGGTGAGCTGTAACCCTTACTCTTTGGATCTCAAGTGAAATGAAGAAGGAATGCATTGCGAATCGGCAGTGTTGATTTCACAATATATATATATATATAGATATATAGATATATAGATATATACAGATATATTGATATATAGTGGTATATCGATATATAGATATAACTATAGATATAAATATATATATATATATAGAAATATGTGGAGATATATAGAGATATATAGAGATGTATAGAGATATATATATATATACATATAGAGATATATAGAAATATATAGAGATAGAGATATATATATATAGAGAGAGAGATATAGATATATAGATAAATATATACATATATAGATATATAGATATATATAGATACAGCCATAGATGTAGATATAGATACAGATATAGATAGATATAGATAGATATAAATAGATACAGATAGATATAGATAGATATAGATACGTAGATATAGATAGATATAGATAGATATAGATGGATATATATAGAGATAGATAGATATAGATAGATACAGATAGATTTAGATAGATATAGATAGATATAGATAGAAATAGATAGATACAGATAGATATAGATATAGATAGACATAGATAGATATAGATAGAATCAAGTAGATAGATAGTTTGATAGTTAGATAAGTTAGATAGATAGATAGATAGGCAGATAGATAGTTAGATAGATAGATAGACAGATAGATAGATAGACAGATAGATAGACAGATAGATAGATAGATGGATGGATAGATAGATAGATAGATGATACTCAAGGTGTATCTAATGCACAACATGCACCTGGTGAACATGCTTCACTGATAGATTGATCGATAGATGATAAATGAGCCATAGGAGCGAGGAGCTCTAGGAGCCAGGAGCCATAGAAGCCACCAGGAGCCACCAGGAGCCGCAAAAGCCACCAGGAGCCACAAGGAGCCGCAGAAGCCACCAGGAGTCACCAGGAGCCACCAGGAGCCACAGAAGCCACCAGGAGAGGAGGGAAAAAAAAAAATACCAAAAAAAAAATAATAATAATAAATTACCCTCCTTTCCACTCAAGCATGAGACATCCAACGAAAGATTTACGAAGGGTCTTGGACCATGGAACGATAGAAACCAAGCGACGCAGTGAGCCCTGGGAACCACTCGGGGTTGGAGTGGATTCCGTCCTGGCTCAAGTGGTCCTTGATTGGGATACTGTAAGCCACATAGAACTGAATTCGAATATTTCAAGATGTTTCAACATGAACATAGCCATGGTTCTACACCACTTGTTCTTCGGGAAAGGGGGTCCAACTGTGCATGTCCAATGAAACATGTTGCTGTTTTTGGCAGTCCAGGGTCACCAGAATGCCAGAATGGTTCCTCAAGCTTTCCATACAGGATATCAGTGCCGTATCTCAAGTTGTCCAAAACTTCTTGGTTATTCTTTCTGTGCGGGCCCCACTTGAATCATGATTCTGCTTGGAAGTCATGTTTGAAGCTGGTCGGAACCAAGACCTTGAAAAACCAAACCACACAGAACCTACCCCACCTCAACACGCACCATTCACCGCACCTACTTGGACGATCTTGGATGCACATCCCATCTAATTTGGGTGGTAACCCATGTGCTGTACCCCACAGAACTGGTGATATCCCATTTTTTCACCCGGCGTATATCACCCAGTTGATCAACAGGTAGCCAAGGTCCCGCCCGCCTGTTTTCTGGTGAACCCAGAAATCTGCACACATATCATCGTATATCCACCTGGCCTCTCTCTCTATCTATTTAAAAAATCTTTATGACATGATATTCCCATATATATATATATATTTTTGTTCCCATGTTTTTCAGCTGGTGTCTTAGCCCCCAAAAATGGGTCCATGGTGAACCCCCGTCCTTCATGGCCCACTGGATGACCTTGTAGCAGTCCGAGCCCGGCTTCGGAATGACACAGGGCTCCAGCTCCGCCTTGCGCGTCTCGGTGCCCAAATAAGGCTCCACCGTCTCCGTCTCGATGACGTTCCCTGGCGGCTGGAGGCAGCGGCTGGGGATGGGGGGCCCTTAACGGGTTGGGGATAGGGTTGGAACAGGTTGGGACGGGATAAAATTGGGATGGCAACAAAAAATCGACAAATCATCGGAAAAAAACTCATAGGCCAAAGATTTCATGCGAACAACATGTGCCAATTTACTGTACCATGTTCCAATATGTTATAATAGCCCCAACCTGGTTTTTTCACCTCGGGCGATTTAGGCAACTGGGAGCCGGCCTCTCCAATTGATGGATTCAATCTTGATGGACTCCTTTGTCATGGTGAGATCGAAGAATCCATACCTCAGCGCATCCACATCCTACAAGGGGCTTCGCTGAACATCCTACAAGGTGAGAACCCCTAGATCGGTAAGTTGACTTATAACTTGCTCAACTGTTGGGCTTATGGGAATTTATGGGATATATGATATATATATATATAATTATGATTTGTCATATATAACCATACTAAAACGACTAGACTATAATTATCCTATAGATATACTAACCACTAACTATATACTATGATTAATATTATATCTGGTTAAATTATAATATTTTACTAACCTGAATCTTGCGGCCATTTGGGCATGATTCCCCTTATTAACCATGATTTCCAGTGAGGGAGAACAGTGAGGTCGTTATAATTTACCCAGATAGATATACTATTAATTATCCTATATATACTAACCACTAACATCCACTAACTATATACTATGATTATCTATGATTAATATTATGATTAATATTATATAATATTATATAAATATACTATCTAATACTATCTGAATCGCTAGTGGCTTGACCAACCCAACCGACTCGCTTTCAAAGGGCTGATGGTCGTCGGGGTTGTCCACCTCCACGTTGTTTTCCGAGGTGATGCCGCCGCCGCCGCCGGTGATGAAGCACTTCAAACCTCCCAACTTCTCCTGGCAACGTGGCAACGTTGCTGTCGAAACAGGGGGAAAAACGTTGAAAAAAAATCCAAGATCTGATAATCTGAATGTGGATTTTTTTTGGAAAAAATATGATCTAACGGAAAAAAAAATATGAGTGATTTATATGAGTGATTTATAGGAGTGGCTGAGTGGCTGCGGTGAAAATTTCCGCCACCGGGGGCTCAATCATTTATATGATGTATATGGAAAGATTGTGGAATATAGTGGGCATGTGCAACTAACGATACGGTGATTGCGATGATTGGTTCAGTTGGGAATATATTAACTGGAGGCCATGGTATTGTTTAGCCGAATATCGAGGTTTTCTGCAGTTTTTTTTCCTTAAACCAATAGTGGGAATTTGGGCTAAGTGTTTCCAAACTGAAGCTCAGGATGATTTTGTCGTTTACTTACTCCAGCATGGCTACACATGTGTAGCATCATTGCAAGAAATTGTTGTCATGAGCTGCGCCGCCAACAATCACCTAAGTTCACCTACAACATATCTTCACATGGCCACGGCCAATGATAAATGATCCAAAATACCAATAGGAAAACAAACCTGAAGTCCGTCCTTGCGCGCACATGAGCAACATTCATTTTGTGATGTCGTTGTCACAAGCCATCTACATCTATCATCCCATGTCCATCACCCTCAGCGATTCCGACGAGCATCAGGAGACCAATACATCAGCTGATAATGGGCATGGCCCGTGACCAACAGATCCAGACCATACTTCCTCAGATCTCATGTCATGGCTGTGCCGCAGAATTGGTACTGTGCTGGTTGTTTCCACTGGGAGCTCATGGCAAATTGGGAGAACGATTTGATCAACAAGAACGACTAGTACATGGGGCCACTCGTGGTGACGGGTTGTTGGCAACGTTCTTCACAGTTAGCGGACCAGAAGATTCAAGTACGGCAGTGGTTGCCCTATCCATACACAATCCGGCGTCCCACCCTGGTATTGACCATCATTTGGCACAGCACACTGACAAGTTTATCATAATTCCATACCTAAATGACCTTGCCAAGCTAAAGGGGTCAATGTTAGGAACTCATTTTTCCACATTTTTTTCAACACCTGGCAGACCTGGCATGTTTTGGCGCAGCATCAAGTGCATCTCCTTGTAAAACTTCGTCTTGTGACCGCAAGGGAAGTGCGTCACCTCACCGCACCAGGTGGGATCCTCATGATCCCAAACAGTTGGCCTTACCTCTAATGGCAGCAAGGACTTGACTAGCCTTCACTGCTTATACCCTCTGGTAATTTAACATAGCTATTGAAAATGGCCATTTATAGTGGATTTTCCCATTAAAAATGGTGATTTTCCATAGTTATGTTAGTTTACCAGAGGGTATAGTGATTGCAAATCACTGCTTGACATTCTGCAAAACCAGACCCCCAACAAAAACATACAAAAACGCTGTCAAAAACGGTGTCATGAGTCATGATGAAATGGGCACATCTTTGGTATAGCTACCCGCTACCCTTTGGTAATGTAACAACATAGCTATGGCCCTATATCATTCATTTTTACTGGGTAATTCGACCATAGCAAATTCTGAAATTATTAGAGGATAACCATCATACATTCCATTACATAAAATCCCACGAAATCCCATTTAAAACCCCAATTAAACCCAAATCACCCAGTTGAATCCCATTAAAATCATGAAACATCCATTTAGTCCCATTAAAATCCATTAAACTGAACATCCCATGGAACATCCCATGGAAAATCCCATAAAACACCCAACATGTCAGCGTCGGTCGTATCGAGGAGCCATGATCTGCCAATGCGCTTCCGACTTCTGGAGCTTCTCAGTGGCCCAGGTCGCGCCCTCATCCTGGCGGCGGCGAACACCGTTTTAACCATGGGAAAATTCATATGTTTCAACCATGGAAAAAGTGTAGGAAAACACAGAAAACCACGGGAAAACCATGGGAAACCATGGGACATTTATGGGAAAACTGAGTTGGAAAATGTGGGACAATTTTAGGCTTCAAACCATGGGATGTTGGGGGGAACCCCGTTGTTTCAAACCAATCTCTTTGTAGAAAAAAACGGGGTGAAACTGGATGATTTATCCCACTCTGATGAGTTCTCTGCCTGGGTGCAGTGACCTTTCATCATTCATCGCGGTAAAAAAACTCCGGTGAACATCTGAAACCTGAAAGCACTATCTTCTCCTTCCGGTGTGGAACAGTTTCAACAAAGTGGACAGGCCCAGTGTGGCCATGATCATATTGGAGTTCCAGTCCGGAGCAACCTCCCTAAGTCGCCACAGGTTGCTACAGCCAAGTATCCCAGAGTTTCTGGAACCAGTCGTGACACGACTCGATACTGGATGGACCACCAATCCTTAGGAGAGCGAATGTCATCATGGCTGACTTCTGCACAGCTGCCTGCAGGATTTGTCAAATATCAACCCGGTTTAGATGTGTGATATGAACATGCGCAGGGAATTTTAAGATGGCGGACGATGCTGCATAATTCATGTGTGGCATCTCAGGAAACAGATTCTAAAGCTTTCAGCACCCCTGCTGCAGCCATTGCAGAACCTCATGGATTTGTGATGTGGTTCATTCTGTTCTGGCGGAAAATATGTGATAGCATGCCGAAAAAGAAATGTGTGTGTGTGCATACCATATGGTAGAATAGCTGTGCATGTAAATGTGTAGGCATGTAGGGTATATTCATAGTAATTGTATGTATTTTTTCTTACATCGCATGTGTAAAACATACAAATTCCCACATAAATCATCAAATTCATCATAAATCCATACCTTAAGCACTTCTCTCCAAGCATCTTTGCACAACTGGAGCCAGGAGGATTGTGCAACTTACCACCTGAGTTTCCCAGCCTTCCTTCACCAGCCAGGACCTATTAACCCACATTGAATCGTAGGTTGTGTGGGTTGTGTGGCACTTGTTTTTTGCAATGGCTGAACCCAATTCTGAAACAAGATGAAACAAGATGGTAGCACCTCACTGAATCATCATGTCTTGGTTTGATTTCCCCAGCAGCAGAGGAGTCAATGGACTCGGTCCGCCCATGTTGCCCAAAGTCTTATTCGGATGCTGAATGATACTGAACACAGGTGGTGGTATGTTTTGGAATAGTTCATGGGAATATCCACTGGCATCCACGGTATTCCCATCAACGGTTGGTTCATCCTCCGGATCCTTTAAAAAGGGTCTATCTGAAAATCAGCTGCCCCCCCAACCACTGGATGGAATCGGGTAGGATCATCCGACTCGGTCAATAACTTGAGTGATCGCATATCGAGGTTCCGAAGTAGGTTATCCAGTCATCCCATTCATAAATTCGAAATGGATAAGTCATTGCCAATCTTAGATACCCTACAAAAAATAGTTGGCTGGCATATAATTATATATAATATATATTAAAACATTAAGGATCTTTTTCACTACCCATCCACTTGACCTATAGAAGTACAGTATATGGTTAGATAGATCCTAGATCCATAGATCCTCCAGAGCCTGGTCCGACGCCGGTCCCAGGTGCAGATGTTGTGCTCAGGATTCGCGGAGGTATCTTCGTCCGCATCCTCGATGTTCGAATCAATCCTCAGCGCGAAGGAAGGATGGAGCCAATGGAACCAAGAAAAGTCCAGATTTATGCAACATGCGAGATATAATATAGATATATATATATAATATGTATACTGTATACTGTATGTATACTATATACATATGTATATATATATATATGATATTATATACTATATGATATTATATGTATATAATACTATATATATATATATATATTATATTCCTATTATATTGTATATTTAGATATTATCATATATTGATATAATGAATTGACCAGTCTGTTTCCAACAAACATCTGGACAAGATCGAGAAGGATAGTTCATCCCTACAAGCGAATCGTTGCCAAGGAATGTTCTGAAATTACTGGGCGCGCATCTGTATTTTACATGATTTTACCAGCACAAGTTCTGATGTTTAAACAAAAAAACGGGGGGTGACAGTAAAAATCGAATAATTTCAGATCCCCAAATCTGTGATATGCCGTCATCCCTGTCATCTGCTGTCCTCAAGACGCAGCCACGAGTTTTCGCCAGTGAAAATCAAAGCAGCGATTTTAAACCATCCTTCGGTGCCACCTTCTGAGGACATCTTCTCATATTCCAGCATTCCTGCTGGTGGGGTCACCAATGTTTGTTTGAACCACCATCATTGCTGGTTAACTCCCAAATTCGTGTTGGTTAAATCCACCATTTTTGTTGGTTAAACCATGGCTTCAAGCCACATCAAAATCTCCACCGTAAAGCCCTGGTCCACATAGTCCACTGTCTGCATCCAGTAGGGCGCTGGCAGCACCCATCGTTTGCCTTGGGAAGAAGCTGCGCAAGGAGCCGCTTGCGGCTCAGGAAGCAGTGGAAGTTACACTCCGATGTCAACATGGCAAGGGGAAATCCCCTAAAATGGAAGTTTTATGAAAAAAAAATCATCTGTAAATGCTGGATTCTCCAGCAAACCATGTTTCATTCACCCATTTAGGGCGGGGAAATGGCACGAATCACCAAATTTGGTGTCGTTCTTGATGGTTCAACCCCACTTAGTGTCATTAAATCGTTCTGATGATTTAAATCCATAGTGTTGATGATTAAATCATGTTAAACCACCATTGTTGATGGTTAAAAAAAAAAACGTTTTTTTTTCCCAAAAGTTCCAGTTTTTTCATCCCATCATTCTTGTTCCATCTTGTTCCCATGGTTTTTCGGCTTCAAATTCAACCACCCTTGGTGCGGTGCCCCCAAGTCACTGACCCAGGTGTAGGCAATCTGTTGGTCCCAGGCTGCGTCCATCTCGCGGCCTCCCCAGTCGTGGTTTCCCAGCACCGAGAGCCAGGGCTTGCCGTCCAGGCCGGGGCCCTTGTAGACGTTTTCGTAGATCCTGAAAGGACCGTTTTTGGTTCCCAAAAAGGTCCGAAAAAATGGACATTTACCCTCTGGTAAACATACAAAAAGCTATTGAAAATGGTGATTTATAGTGGATTTACCCATTGAAAATGGTGATTTTCCATAGTTATGTTAGTTTACCAGAGGGTAACATGAAATGGATATTTTTCACATGCTTTCACCAAGAAAACTTGGGACAAACATGGTGATAACATGAGAATTCATGGGGGTTATAGCTGATTTATGATAGTTTAGTTGGTGAACATGACTCCAACAACTATGGTGTATGTTGATTTGTGATACTTAGAGCCATGGTTTTCATGAGGATTATTAATCAACTTATCATTTATAGCTGGGGGGGCACCTTTTGGATGTGCATCCCAGTGAATGTTGGTAAAGCAAGGTCATAAACCACTTATATAAATTGATGGTTTCAATCCCACCCATAGAAATGGTAAAATTGAGGATGATGGATCCTGTTCCTTTACTAATATTATGGGGCATGGGATAATCTAGTTAGTTACCGGGTACAACCGTAGTCACTATGGAACTTACTAGTGGCAACATACCACTTGCTAATTGGCAACCATAGTTATAACTTGTAGTTATAAGCCATTCATAGGATAGGCCAGTTAGGTGGATATGCATCCCAGTAAGGGATTTAAATCATATGTATATAAGCCGAATATAAGCAATATTAATTAATAATCCTCACAGAACTAAGTTATATAAATAGTATATATATATAAGATACTAAATGGTTCATGATAATGTATAACAGTCATATGCTTATAATATATCTTTAACATTCTTTAACGTCATATAGAAACGGGGTACAACGTAGCTGTTACCATGATTACCCACCTACGAATCCTGGAATGCACCCCGAAGTACAAGATGCCCCCCCCCAGCTATGTTTGGTTTATAATCCCCAGTTACGATGAATATATTGTCCATATATCCAACCTAGCTTGATATGTCAGAAACCAACTAGAAAATGTATGGTAAATAACCTACTCAGAAAAGAATAACCTACTCAGAAATTGCTAACCTCAGGTTAACCTAATTACTTAAGGCTGGTGGTTTGGTTTGACCTACTCAGAAACCAACTTCGCTAACTCCATGGCTTTATGGGGCACCACCTTCTAAAGAAATACAGTTGAAACATGTTGAAACCATACAGGGAACCAGGATGGATGGGTCAAACTCTAAGGCAGCCGCCAATGATTGATCTCTCTCTCTCTCTTCATCGGCCTCCCAAATTCTTTGAGTCTTCAATCAGTTTCATCCATTATTAATACATAAATTAGTAAATTATCCACCATGGTCACCATGATTTTGTGTTACCCTCTGGTAATTTAACATAGCCTAGCCATGGAAAATCACCATTTTTAATGGGAAAACTCATTATAAATGGCCATTTTCTAGCTTTTTGTATGTTTACCAGAGGGTAATTCGTGATGGAAAAAAACATATTTTTCGCCAAAGGCTCCAGTTGAATTGCGCCCTGGTGACATCGTTGACCTTGGACATTGGCGTCTCACCGCACTTGCCAAAGATACCGCCCCAGTAGAAGTTGTCCCCGACGTTCAGCAGGTAGTCTGGGTTGTTGGCCTTGAAACATGTCGCTATTTGTTGGCAAGGTCCTAAAAATGGGGTATTGCACGTAGGTTTCCGTGAGTCTGTGAACTATCAGATTGTCGTGTATCCCGTATGTGTATATATAAATATAAGGTGCGTAACCATGGTTCTATATCTGGGCAAATTACATGAAAACAAAGGAAACGGCAGAAACATCCACGGACTATTCATGATAATTATGTAAATTGATATCAAGATGTGATTACATAATAAGCAACCAACCAAAATTCTCCGAAAAGCAGAAATGTCCAAGGCTTCGACCATTTGTGTTTTGGGGTTCACAATCCCAGTATGATGTTCTACCGGTTCAGTCAAAAAAATGGTTTGCTTCCATGCTCTGAGAACCAAAAATCACCAACCAGAAGATGGTACTGCATCCGTTTTGGAAGCACATGTGAAAACTGGATAGTGTTAAACAGTTGCCATCATCTGTGGGTCGAAATTGTGTACATCTAAAACTGGATAGATCGGATAGTCAATCATAAAGATGAATCAAAGATTACCAAAATCTGCATTTGTTTCTTAAGTTTTCATAATTTTTGAAGCCATTCCCATTGACCTGATGGTTGTACCCTCTGGTAAACTAACATAACTATGGGAAATCACCATTTTCAATGGGAAAACTCACTATAAATGGCCATTTTCAATAGCTTTTTGTATGTTTACCAGAGGGTAATGGGGACAGCGCAACTCTTCCGAATCAGGCCTTGGCCCTCTTGATCATCTGATCTGCCACTAGGTGCTGCGCAGGGACATCAACCTGAGACAACTGATCAACTTTGATGAATCTTGGACAAATTACCATCTGGTTATTTAACATAGCCATGGGAAAAACCCTGAACTAAATGGAGGTTTCTAGCTGGGACAATCATCTATAAATGGGCCATTTTCCATGGCTATGTTAAATAACTACAGGGTAAATCTCATTTGTTTTCTCCTGGCTTACTGTATTGAAACTGCAGGGAAAAAGTTGCATCCGCACAATTATCTATATATTACAGTATGTATGCAAAGTAGTTGCACACACGCGCGCACACACACACATATATATATATATTCATAATTGATCATATGTATTATACCTCTCGCATGTTGTTGATCGAATGCCAAATGTGGATAACATATTTTGCTATTACCTTCATTTTGGATATATATGCTAGCAAGCAATAACCCATACCATGACTAGCCTAAGTCATATCGCCAACACATTGGTGGATGTGGCATAGTTCCCCCAAAGAAACTCAATGTGCACCATGGCAGATCCAATAAAATATCAACATGGCCGAAAGATGCCCATAGATGTTCCAGGATTTTCCTCAGCATTCTCTTCAAGGCTCAGCTTTCGCCCACCACATGTGCTGCCGTGGCACATCCTTCAGCCAGCCACAGCGTGCAGGGCAATCAGTGCCATTGGTGCCAAAGCAGTCAGCCATTTCCTCAGGTCTCAGGTGAGTTGTTGTGTATTATTTTTTTTTTGGTGATCAGAAATTTCCTCAGGTGGAAAATTTAGAAGGCCATGTCCTGAAAAAATGTTCAATACGCAACAAGCCTTCAATCCAGGGTGAACACCATGCAACTGTCAATTTCCCAGAAGCTTTTCATCCTACCACAGGGAAGCAAAGATCTGAATGGGAGGTTGGGCCAAGGGAAATAGATGGAAATAGGTAAAAACACACTTGGGGCACCTGAAATAGCATTCTGGGTGTGATTCCTCAATTTATATGCATCTTGGAGCAGATAGAATCTCCATTTTCTGACAGAATAAGACTATCACGAACAGAGAAATCTATATACTTCTCGGATGAGTCGAGTGATCCCCCTGGGTGGAGATGCCGTTCCAAGGAGAAAGTTTTCGATGTTGGGATGCAAACCCACCACGATACACTACTACACGACTTGGGACAAATACCATGGAATTCTGCTAGAAGATGAAGCTGCTAGAAAATCATGTGTCTTTTTATGGTTTATCATAGTTTATTTGACTGAGTTTACCACATCACTGGCTCTGATTCATCCGAGCAGCAGGAGTGGTACACGACAAATCGTGCGTCTTGGCGTTGGTGCGATATCTTCCCATGGTGTGAGGGCCCATGGTCTGTCCACCTGCACAGGATGACATAGCCACCGTGGTTTCTGGAAGCCGAAGAGTGGGGGAACTCGAACGAATCTGGTTGGTGGTTGAGCCCTACCCCTCTGAAAAATGATGGAGTTCGTCATTTGGGATGATGACATTCCATATGGGAAAAAATGTTCCAAACCACCAGAAATCCAATGGCTGCGAAGGTCCAAACCTCAAAAGCCAGATGCAGAATCCAACACATCCAACACTTCCCACCAGGACACCCAAGGACCCCAACCCCCCCCCAATCAACACTCCCCAGGTAGAGCGGTGGCACCTTTGTACTGGATGATCTGACTGTTGTGTGGCAAGGTCCCGGCAAGGCCGCCCCAATCCCCGACGGCAAAGACATGGGTGTTCGTCCCTCGAATCGTCATCTTGGGCCACTCGATGCCTGGTTTAGGATTGGATCTGTTCCTTTTTGGGGGACCCATGTGCGGGTATTTGTTATTAGGCGGAAGGGACTAGATGAACGCCCTCAAGATCATCTAATGAGGGATGTTCCATTGTTTATAATGGTGTAGCATTAAGTAGCCACATAACTGTCAACTGCAGAAATCCATAGTCATGACAGCTGTCATGAATCTCAATGGCGCCGCTTCCCCCGTCCCTTTGATTTCCCCTTCCGACTTGTGCCATGGCTAGCAGCTAGCAACCTTCGCTAATAGCAATCAAATACATGTTCAGCAAATAATCCCTTCCTCCTAATACTAAACGTCCCCCTAATACTAAAAACAGGCATCCATCTCCAATTTCCGAAAATTTCAGTTTGGCCAATTTGACTTTTAATTGATCCCCTTTAAAAAACAATTTAAAAATCAACCTACCATTTGTGGGTTCTCCCCCCTAATACTAAAAACTAGTTCACCCCGGGGTGTTTAGTATTAGGGGGGCCTAGTCCCAATCCCTCACTCCAAGCTGCCTGGCTACTCTAGCAATTAGGGGTAAGCTTCGAACTGCCATTTTTGGCAATATTTTAATTGCGTTATATAAGGAAATTTAATTGATTTTGAGATCGGAAAAAATAGTTTTTAGTATTAAGGGTTTTAATTTAGTATTAGGGGTAAGCTTCGAACTGCCATTTTTGGCAATATTTTAATTGCGTTATATAAGGAAATTTAATTGATTTTGAGATCGGAAAAAATAGTTTTTAGTATTAAGGGTTTTAATTTAGTATTAGGGGTAAGCTTCGAACTGCCATTTTTGGCAATATTTTAATTGCGTTATATAAGGAAATTTAATTGATTTTGAGATCGGAAAAAATAGTTTTTAGTATTAAGGGTTTTAATTTAGTATTAGGGGTAAGCTTCGAACTGCCATTTTTGGCAATATTTTAATTGCGTTATATAAGGAAATTTAATTGATTTTGAGATCGGAAAAAATGGTTTTTATATTAAGGGTTTTAATTTAGTATTAGGGGTAAGCTTCGAACTGCCATTTTTGGCAATATTTTAATTGCGTTATATAAGGAAATTTAATTGATTTTGAGATCGGAAAAAATAGTTTTTATTATTAAGGGTTTTAATTTAGTATTAGGGGTAAGCTTCGAACTGCCATTTTTGGCAATATTTTAATTGCGTTATAAGGAAATTTAATTGATTTTGAGATCGGAAAAAATAGTTTTTATTATTAAGGGTTTTAATTTAGTATTAGGGGTAAGCTTCGAACTGCCATTTTTGGCAATATTTTAATTGCGTTATATAAGGAAATTTAATTGATTTTGAGATCGGAAAAAATGGTTATTATTATTAAGGGTTTTAATTTAGTATTAGGGGTAAGCTTCGAACTGCCATTTTTGGCAATATTTTGGTTCCCTAATAATAAATACCCCCCTAATACTAAAAACTACTTGCCGTGTTTTGTATTGGGGGGGGGGGTTTAGTATTAGGAGGAAGGGATTAGCGGTGTTTCACATTCTGTCATACTGGGACAAGAATCAGTCACCACCACAGTCACCGTAGAACCCTTCAGGCTACTATTCAGTTCCTATTCCCTTTCTTTGCGCCCTTTGGATCCCTTTGGCCCACAAGACATCAACCGGCACCCCACTCTTCACCCCAGTCGTGGAAATCTAAGGGGTGCTACCTCCCAACAATATCACCATATATCAACAAGAAGGGTTTATAATGGTTTATAGATGTTTATAGAATTCTATAGATGTTTATGATATAATCTGCACCGAATTATAGAAGCCGCTGTTTTTTAAGGTGTCATTGATTCTCCAAAACCGCCCATCAAGCGCGGCCAGTCGGTCCCGCGATCCCGGAGGGGCACCGTTGTACTCGAAGGGGTGCTTGGGCGGCTTGATGCCCCGCATCTTCCGGGTTAGCACAGAGGTGGGATAGTGCAGTGGATCCGGCGGCAAACCACCTGAACCTGGGCGCCGCGGTGGTGAAGACTGCGGGGAGAGGACTGGGGAGCGATGTGGGATGGGATAAGACTTCGATCTTAGGATATAACGATGATAACACTAGAATTCGGATATGACTAGCATGATATGAGGAAGACATATAGATCAAAGGGGAAAAAATGAAGGAAATAAAGAGGTAAATACGCCAATCCCTTTCCTTGGTTGGAGCGACCATGATGATTATGGGGAGTGATGGGAGGTACAAGATAGATAGAATTTGGGATACGGATTAGGATACATGATGTAGACATAGCCTGACATAGGTATGTGGTATAGGATTTGGATAGGATTGAGATTAGAATTAGGCTAGGGTTCGGATGGGATCGGATAGATTGATGGATACCTGTAGAGTCCTCAAAAGATAGACTAAGTAGATGCAGCTCAATTATTGTAAAACAACGGGTTAGAAAGTCTACTAAGTTGATGACATCGAAAATCATCGAAACATTGTGGGAAGTTATCTCAAAATTGAGAATCATCGGTTTGTTGATGGCTTGTACCTGGAACAGCGGAGCCCTTCTTCGGCCCATCCGATCGATTCATCATGGTCTGTCACATGGGGAAGCTTAGATCATGCATATCAATGATTCCCTCCAGTAATCAAATGTGGCATTGATGAAACCTCTATGAACGGATGTTTTCATGGGAAAATCTTCGATAAATGATGGATTTTCCATTGCCATGTTTGATTATCAGAGGGTAACAAGCAGCTATTTGGGGGAAAGCATCGGGATCTAAACTGTTTTGCTGATACCCTGGTAATCCTAAGTCCCTATCATTTTTCGTGAAAATTCCCACGTATCTCGCTACTAACCAACCATTTCATCAAAACCAACTGGTAGCCATCGGAGTTGTTAGTCAGTAGCCATAGTTATACCATAGATAGTTAGTAGCAATCTATCGGGATAAACAGTAATACTGCACTAATCTGAAAGGTTAGGCTATTTGGGGATATTTACCCAAACCCTAACCATCATTTCAGTGAGGTCGACGTGAGGTCGTCATAATTTATCCGTATCTATGTGGTACAACCATGGCCTACTCAAGCTGTCCCTACCATGGCAGAACCAAGGCGCAGGGGCGCGGACAGCCACCCTCGCCACTGCGGTACAAGGAGTCCTACCAAGGAGATGGCGGGACGTTGTTTCACAACTTAGCAAGAAACGTGGCTGGTCACCGGCTGGGATATACCCTCTGGTAAATTCACAGTTTGACCCTGAAAATCATCCATTTGGTAGTGGAAACTAATCTTCCGAATCCCTATCTGCCGGGGTCTATGTCAAGTTGCTGGAGGGTAAAAGGAATACAAAATTGATATCACTTAGTAAGTGTCATTACTGGATATCAAATGGCATGGGGATGTATCAGCAAAAACATGGCTATGCACCATCAACGTCCAATTCCTTCGCAACTGCCCAAGTTTGAACCCAAGAATCCCAAGCAATTTCAAACAAATCCTCCTCTTTTTTGGTGGTAGAAATTATATAACTCAGTTCCACCATCGGTCCTGAAACATGGTGAAGGGAGACTGTGGCGTAACGCCAGGGTACCAGGATGGGTTGGCATAGATGCCATCACTCATGGCCCACTTCACCTGGGGCGACTCTCCGTCAGGACCGGCATCAGCATGCATCAGCTACAGGTCAACACATATATCACTCCAAGGCACCTTCTTGAAACAGTCCGAGCCAGCTTTTGGAATGCCACAATCCGGATCTACTTCCTCTTCCTCTTCATCTTCTGGTTCTTCCTCATGAGGTTGCAGAAGCGGAAACCGCTATATATATATATAACTATATGAAGATGAGCGCCGTTGCATGTGCATCTAAAATCATCTAAAAAGGTGAGAAAATGTTTTTACCACCAGTCTTCACTTCTATAGAAATTTGGTTTCTTCACATTATCCAGTCCATGTGGGCACACCATGAGTTGCTTGCATCTCAATGAATCGCATGGGAAACCTAATGAGTTCCATACATATCACCTGTGGAAAAAGGATTAAGCCACAAAAAACGCCAATTGGGTGAATTGTATGTTTATGTTTCAACATGTTTCGAAATACACCCCCAAAAACCAAATGTTGGTATCATCTATCTCCCCTTCCACCACTAGGTTCTTCGGTAATTACCCTGCAAACATAAACGTCTTGCTGGCATTTTGCTGGCAAAAGGGTGAAAGATTCACTCAGAGTAAACTTCCCTTGGCTGTTCACCAGTTTTACGCAGCTAAATACGCTACATCCAAACACATCCAAACACCATGCCAGGTCAATCACTGAGTCACCCCAAAAACCACACGCAGCAAAGGAGCTGTGGTGGTCAGCATTTCGCCGGAGGTCGAACTGACCTCCTTGGCTTCCGTTGGACCTCCTGCGACACTTGGACCCTTGGATGAACTGAGGATGTGGGGCTTCAGCAACCTAAGATGGGGAGGACTTGCATCCCAGCCATATCATGGCAAGATTTTGTGTGTAGTTGAAATACATCGGCACCTTGCCACATTTTGTAGACCTTGAACTTTCATATCAACATGTGTTGTTTTTTTCTGGTGTTGACTTGACCTTTCGAAAACAAACTCACATGTCTGGGCTGATTGATGTCAATACAGGCTTAGCCTGGGTGGATACCACTTTTCGTTGTTCCTCATCTGGTTTGTGCGACGTCTTTGTTTCATCAAATCACTTTGTTGCCACCCCCTACCCCCACCCAAAAAAAAACACTGAAATTCAAGATCAAACCGGACATAAACATATGAGAAACAGGGCCCAAAGATGTCCGAAACCATCTTTCGGAAAGCCTTTGAAAAACCACAGTGGGTTGATGGTTTTTAAAAATACAAATGTCACAGCATCAAAATGAATGAAGATACTATATACCCTCTGGTGAACTAACATAGCAATGGAAAATGGCCATTTATAGTGGATTTTCCCCTGAAAAATGGTGATTTTCCATTGCTATGTTAGTTCACCAGAGGGTAACTGTTACGAACCCATTAAGAACAAAAAAACACTAGTGACCAACTCAAAGCCATTGATGTTATCCAGGAACCGGTTCGCAGCTCCTGGACTAACGACGCCACCAGGCTCTTGACATTTGCCATTTTGGAAGACCGACCCTTCAAGGCCTTAGAAAAATCTTTGGAAGAGCTGCCAGAATATGGTAACAATGGTGCCCCAGTTCATCAGCGAAGTTGCTTTAGAACTAGAATCATTGCTGGGTTTATATATTGATGATGATTATACAGTACATTTGGTCAAATGGATGATAAACATCTATCCGCGTAAAATTGTTGCATTAGGTTTAAATCGGCTATCCTGCTTGATCTGAAGGTAAAATATATGTTTCTAGAGGCAACATTCCCATATTCAGAAAATCTTCGCATACCATGTTTTCATCGTACTCCAGACCTGAGTTTTGGTATGTTACTTTGATAGGCATTTCAGCTCAATCTGGAGGGAACAGTTGGGCCACGGCGAATCCACTGAATGCCCCTCCACAGCTTTCTATCCCTTATGTCGTTCCAAAGCAGCTGTGGACGTTGAAGGCTGCTTTGATAAGGAAGTTTCTTCATTTGTCTACCGAAGAAGGACAGGGTTGTCAAGGGTAACGTTTTTAAAGGTTGGCTGAGTAAAAATTAGAAAGTTTCTTCCCCGGGGCCTCACCCAAGGTGAACTCGGAAAAATAGAACCCACTGGTGTGTCCCTGGAAGTTTGGGCTGGCTTTGGGATTGGAATTTTGGTTCTGGCCCCGAAATTTCCCTATGTGGTCTCTATATACCAGCCACGCATACTCGGAAGTCTTCGCATTCCACAAAGCCTTCGCACTCCAGCGAGGGCATCGCACTCCACAGCTAGGGACGTGCACATACTATAAAATCCACGCACTCTGCAAGATCTTCGCGCTCCATAAAATCTTCGTACTCGGTGATTTTTCGTTTTTTGCGTTTTTTTTTCTGTTTTTTTTTTTTCGTTTTTTTTTTGGCTAAAATCGCCTGGAATCACGTTTTCTGGAATATGGGCAAGGTAGCGGTTTCGCGTGAGACGTCTGTATTTTCACATACTATCGCATTCCTGGCCATTTTGGCCAAAAATGACCCAAAAAAAAAAAGAAAAACAAAGCTCAGCAGGGTGAAATGTGATAATTTTCTGGTATATGATGGAAAAAACTGGTGTTGGATCCTGGGGAAGGTCGAAGGGGGCCATGCATACTGTTTTATTTTCGCATTCCAGAAAATTAGCGCACTTCAGGGGTGGCATCGTACTCTATCGGTGGAATTAGTTTGCACGGAAGAAAACAGGATCGTCGATGATTTGTGTTCCGAGATCCTGTTGTGCAGGGCTCTTTGCGGGGCCACAAAGATGTCAAGAAAGATGGGGATGGCGCTGCTGGTGAAAGGCCAGCCAAGCGTGCCAGAACACAAGCTTAAAGCTTATGAATTGGGTTTTGAGATCCTGAAAAGTGTAGATGACAAATTCCCATAAGAACATTATTAATCCATTTTTGGAAAGCTCAACATTATTAATTATGACATTTCCAGAAATTGTTGAAAGTAAGGATCTTCTTTGCGGAAGAACATGTGCAGTCGACAACGTACGTGCCAGCAGAAAAGGAGTACTTGGCAAACTGTATGAAATACAAATTTCACCTGAAAGGGGTCTTCGCAATTCCCTGAAATTTCCCAGCTATTTTGGCATGGAATATGTTCGGCCCTGGAATATGGGCAAGAAATTGCTAGAATGTTGAGTAACCAGTGGTTGATGCAATTATGTAATTTGTTCGGTTGGTATATATATATATATGTATATATAAAGACGCGCTACAGGAAACGTCAGAAAACCCAACGGTGTTTACCCCAAGTAATTTAAGGCTTACAGTAACACCTGTAGAGTTTCCCTTGAACTTGTCCTGGATGGAACACCAGAAAAGGCAGTGCTACTGAGTGATCAAGGAGAATGTATCTATCCTATGTACGGTTTGTGTAAGGCATATGTAAGGAAATAGCTTCTCCAAACATGGCCCTCAGAGTCACAGTACCTTGCTGAGTCTGACCTCTGCCAAACCTCTGGCAAGAAAAGAGCCACTGATGGCGCGACCCAACAGAAGTATGCATAAGGTATATAAGACCCCTGGCTGGTAACATAACCAAAGAACGGTGTAGTTGCAATTTGTGGTAAGGGACTTAAAATTCCAGGGGCGTTTCCTAACGTCATAGGTCATCAATGGTGTGATCCCATTGGAAGCAGTTGCCATGCAAAGCTATCTGAGTCGCCCAGCAAAAGCAATTACCTTCCAGGCACATGGCAGGCCCCTGTGACTCTTCACAATAGCCTGCCATCGGCGGAAATACGGCAACTCATTGAGGGGGCCCTGTTCGACTCCCTGAGTCAGGAGTCATGGGTTGAATCATCATCAGCAACATCATCATCATCATCACCACCACCACCATCATCATCATCATCATCAACATCATCATCACCACCACCACCACCATCATCATCATCATCACCATCATCCTCATCATCATCATCATCATCATCTCAAAGATAACGTAAATCTCACAAGATTTCGGTAAAGATACGATCTGTCTTGAAGTCAGGCACGCTCGCACAACGCGCCTCGCACGCTGCAGGCGGCGCCCGTTCGGCGAAGGCCCATGTGCGTCTTGGGCTCCGAAGAGGATGGGTAGCACTTGCCGCCCGCTGCGACGTAGCCTGTTGCGGCTAATGGTGGATGATCGAAAGGTGACCATGTTTCGGCCATGGTGGTGATAGTGGTGATGGTGACACCTTGCTACTGCTACTATGTTGTCTTTTTTAAGGATGATGTTGATGCTGATGATGATGGTGGTGGTGATGATGATGATGATGATGGTGATGATGATGGTGGTGGTGATGATGGTGATGATGGTGATGATGATGATGATAATAATCCAGCAGAAAAAAAACAACTGCTTAAACTTGATTAGTTTGCAATGCTGAGTGTGATCGAGCATGGTGAACGTTGAGCATAGATAGAAAAACTGTTCACTGTTCCAGGAATTTGGGCACCATATTTAGTATTTATAGTTTTCCAACTTTTCTATCCATATTTTCAGGTTGCTCAGGTTGCTCTAGACCTCCCATTCCTATCCCCACCCCAAAAAAATCAACAAATCCAAAGCCAAGAGACCATTTTGGCAAATGCATCGGAAATGATGGCAGGTAGTAGGTCCTCTCAGCTGAAATCGCTTGCCCATGCTGGCCCCCTAAATGCGGTCAGTTCAATCTGGGAGCCCCTTGACATAGCTGAACCTTTGGGGTAAGGAAAAAATGGAGTGATGGAATATCAATGGAATGTCAATGGAGTATGAGTACATATGTATATATTTATAATTATATATATACACATTCATATGCATATATATATATATTGATGATGATGGGCTATTGGCTTGCCCGTTGGTGTCATCAAACATGGCTGGCTGGGAAATGTCCAAACAGAAACTAAATAGACTAAATAGAGGTCTCCGGCTTGAAAAACCATCGAACAAAATACAGGATTTTCCAGCAAGCCATGATTGATTACAGGAGGGTATATGTGTTGTATGCTTTAGCCGGGGTGTATTGTTGCAGTACTTCATTATTTATGGCTGAGAGGAAAAAAACACTAATTAGCATGACATTCCATTCGCCGAACCCGAATTGCCCACTGACACTACGCTCTGAAGAGTTCCAAAAGTTACTGTGCTGGGTTGGTTGAAAGGTCGTTCTAGTAGGAAGCTGCAGTTTTTGCAATGAATTACACTTACACCAATCTCATGTAGTTCCCAACAAAAACGTCATACAGTCATACATCAATCTTGTAATTGCCTACTGAAACTGGGGGCCTCACTAAGCATCATTCGTGGTAAGTCGGTTGTGAAGTGGTCAAACCTCACCTTCTGCAGGGGGCTCCAGCATTGTCTCCTTCCTACGAAAACAACCCCCAACACACATAGAAAAGTCAATGCTACTGTTAAATAGATTTAAATAGGATATCAATTTTCGGGATATATGGGGACAAGATTTTCCTTTTGTGAAACATAGAGGGGTCGGCTTGGTATCCCATACCAATTCTCATGTACCTACTGATTGTATGGGGGGAGCCTTCTATCAACCAGCCAGTGGAGAAAGGAGCTCCTCTACTTGCATCACAGCCGTGCCACCAACAGGTGCCACCTGAGTGACTTTTTTCGTCGGCGAGATGCAGGATGCTTGGGGCAAGAAATGGGGAGTGCAACATCTACTGGGATCTAATGGGATTCAATTGGATTGAATAAGGTCTAATGATGTTCAATGGAAATTCATTGGAATCCATGGGATAAATCTTCTATAGTTAAGTATGTAATTGGATATAATTGGATTATACAATGGGAAACATGTCGAAGTCTATGGCCCAGCACTGTATGGTCCAAATGTGCAACCCGGCAGAAATCAACCCAACTGCACATCTGAACCAAGCCAGCTCATACACGGATGGTACTGCAACATTAACTGGAAAGTATATATGTATATTTAGATAAATGTACATTGGTTTGTCGACAAATGGCGTAAACCCCCGAAATGGCAATTTCAATGGGGAAATTGATGATAAACCATGATAAACCAGTGGCTTTTCAGACAAAGCCATATACATGTCTACATCTACGCCACGACCATCGCCCCGCGGTGTGAAGCGACTGGTCAGATACATCACCAACCATCACCCACAAGTACCGGTTCGTCGAGTTTTGTTTGCTAATGTGGTAGATCCAATGCCATTGAACCTGCCATTTAGGGATGATTTGGAACTACTATTGAGATTGAATAATAGTGATATTCGGGATGGTTTGTGGATGTTTATGGCATTGGGTTTACCACATTACAGTAGTTATGGTAAAGCAATGGCCGTTGACTACATCTCACGTCTTACTCGCTAGATTTCCATCTTCGCTGCATTGAAACAATATTAGGATAACTATATTAGGCCCAAGTTTGTTTCAATTATTTCCCCATCTTTGCCAAGCAAAAGACATCCTCGACTTCTTGGCATTCCGAAAGCCACAGTCGCCACAGTTTGTTGCTACCGCTTCCCCTCGAGCTTTTGCGAGCCACCGGTCCAAAGACCACCATGAGCCAAACCCACATACCATCTATCGGAGGTGGCCTACGGGGTTCAAGGTCCCTGCCCTCTGCCCGCGGAAAAAATATGGAAAAACTTGGATTTGCTTAAGGGACCGGAAAAACATATTTCAAATTTCCTATAGAATCCCCAAGTGATGGATGTCCTATTGGGAAAGTGAAAAAGCACCGCAAACAAACCCAGGAAAAATGGAACCTGACAAATAAAGGAACTTGTTTGGAATTGAGGGAAATTCTGGCTCATGGAACCTGAAAAAACAAGGGAAATTGTTGAGATTTAGCTGATTTAATGTTGCAATCAACACAAGTAGTAGTTCCCAAATGACAAAACGACGACCTTAGCCACCTAGATGTGGGTTTCAGAAACCGTAACTGGTTAATAACCAGGCTTACTTTCGTCACATCAATGTGGGATAACCCCAGTCCGATGGTTGATCATATAGCCCACTTAGTAAGTAGCCTACTGTAGCCTTTAACCTCCAGTAAATTAACATAGACCCTGCCAGATAGGGGTTGGAAGATTAGTTTCCATTAAAAATGGGCTAGTTTTCAGGGTCTATGTTTATTTACCAGAGGGTAATAGCCGCCTAAAATTAACTGGTTGGTGGTATACCTACCCCTCTGAAAAATATGAGTTCGTCAGTTGGGATGATGAAATTCAAAATATATGGGGAAATAAAAAATGTTCCAAACCACCAACCAGTTAATTAAACGTGAACCACTGTACTTACCCAACTCAAAACCATGTATACTTGGATGAAAAACAACTGTTGCCCATGATTGGCCTTTGGTTGAGCGACCCTTTGATGCCAACTTGGCTCAAGGATATCCAGCGAAAACCAAAAGAAACACCAAGGGATAACTCTGTACTTGGATCAACTGTGGGACAACTTGTAAATACATGGCAAATTCATGGTTGCCCGCAATCTAACCCGGCAACTCCTCCATTTTCTACCTGACACTCATACATTCCCCAATTTCCCTTGAAACAAATGGTGGTTTTCATGGGATTTCCATTGCCAGAACTTGCCTCGGATTGCAAAAGCTCGTTAGGCTTGGCCTGGCCACTTCCATAGGGCTGAGGGCTGAAACCATCAGGAATCCAAAAATGTTTATTTTTGTTGGTTCATGTTCATTAGCATCCTGTGAATGCATTTGTATGCTTCTTTCTGACTTTAGATCTTGATTTTTTTCAGCGATTTTTGCAGCTGAATGAAATGCCAAAAAGGACTTCCAGCAAGAAAGGTTGACCGACCTCCTATATGGTTGCTATGGTAGAATCCATGTTTTGGCTGCTGGGGATATCAATTGTTGTTTTACCCTTTCAACCCCGAGACATCAGTTACATGAAGCTTGAACACGGACAAAACAAATGCCATACAACATCATCATTGCAGATCTAGCCACTATCGGCTTACAATACTGAAATTATATGTATAGTTGACAAATTAGATACACTCCGGCAATAGAACATGGCAGTGGAAAATTACCCATCTATATACCTCTGGTTATTTAACATAGCCATGGAAAATCACCATTTTTGATAGGTAAACCATCTATAAATGGGCCATTTTCCATGGCATTCCATGGCTATGTTAAATAACCAGAGGGTAATTATAGTTGATGTGCCATTAGAACCTCCACTTAGTTGGAGGACTTTCACTTGCCATGTGATTACTGGAGGGCAGGTTTATCATGGGGTTTACCCACATCTCTGGTAAACTGAAATAGCTATGGAAAATGGACCAGTTAGTTCGATGATGTACCCATTTTCAAACAGTGGCTTTTCATGGGTTTTCTGAAAAACTTAGTGAAATTCACCAGAGGGTACAGTACCCTCTGGTAATTTAACATAGCTATTGAAAATCACCATTTTTAATGGGAAAATCCACTATTAATGGTACCTCCAAAGGTTTTTTGCTTGCGAACCTCCTCTTCCTGCATGGCTTTCAGCTTTACCCGGAGCTGTCGCAGCGACAGGTCGCGATCGCAAAATTCGTCGTCGCCGGGCGAGCAGCCCTGGTCCGCCTGGCGGATGGAACTGATGGAACTGATGGGACCATGGTGGGTTTGACCCTCTGGTAAACGAACATGACTGATGGGAAAAATACGATGTTCAATTGGTAAATCATGGAAGTAAATAACTAAATGTAACTAAATGTTACATTCAAGGTATTTGAGCCCAATTTTGAGGTATTTGAGGTGACCAGTTCAAGATCTTCAGGGATTATTTCTTCCCACTTTACAATTTCATTTGATTAAGGAATTATCCCACTTTCAGGGATATTTTCCCCAACATATCCCCGTTTCAGCAGCTGCTGCCGCATCAGCGGCTGCTGCCGCCACATCAGCGGCTGCTGCCGCGGCTTCAACTTCAGGCCTGCCCCGCAACGCCCGGGGAAGGAGCATTGGCAGGATAGATAAGTATTAAATATAGATATATTATACTATAAGTTAATTATATATATATAAATACATTATGTATCATGTATTTGCATGTATATATGATATATTTATATTAATGTATAAACACATATTCATCTGTATATATTATATTCAACGTATTGATATATTAGATAATATCATGTATGTAATAGTATTATAAACTTAAACCTATATTGGAACTATATGTTAATATAAAATAAGTAGACATTTTGTTGATAGAACCTTTAAACACTGAATCCTCACAGTCACTAGTGCAAAGCAAATTATTGCATCCAAAGCTATTTGGGCTCCACCCTGCTTTTCTGGGGGTGGCCAGTTGAAGTGTAGAAGGCTTTTGGGCCATGGTTCAAAACTTGGCTCAATTGTTGGCAGCCCGCAACGCAGCGAAGGCAAGCAACAATAGCTCTGCTCAGCCTGCAGCTAGCAGCAGCTCAGCTAGGTCTCAGCCTGCAGCTAGCAGCAACTCAGCTAGGTCTCAGCCTGCAGTAGCACCAGCAGCAGCAGCTAGCAGTGCACCACCAGCAGCATCAGCAGCAGGTAGCAGTGCATCAGCAGCAGCCGCCCCCAACTCCAAGTTGCATCGGATTTATGGGAGGTCGAGGGCATCACCCAAGTCGAAACCGAAGGCCAAACCAAACGCAGAGCCCAAAGCAGAGACAGATCCTAAACCACGAAAGAGACCCGCAAGCCGAGCAACAGTTTTGAAGAGGCCAAGCACCAAGAGGCTCAAGACCCCAGAGAATGTGGATGGTGATGAAAAAAGCAATGATGCCTTAGATCCAAATGATTCTTACTCTGATGACGTTTCTGTGTATCTTGGCAAAACACGTTTCTGTTTGGAAAACGAGTGTTTTCAAATGTCCTAGGCCTCACGTCAATGGTTTCCCCATGTTCCCCCTCGCTGTTCCCCCTTGCTGAGGGAATCTTTTCCGCTTCCCGAGTCACTTCAAGACTTGGAGACTCTTGCTCCAAGATTTGCCCAGATTTTCTTTGTTTCAACAGTCTAGTTGTTGGCTTGGCAACCAAGTTTTTCTTGATTTCGGAACATGTTGTCTAATTTGATCTTATTCCCAGCCTCTTAACCCTGTGTTGCGGTGAAAGGAATTGGCCAAAGGTTCTTCTCCAGCGGTGTGCGGCTTGGTTTGGAGAGGACTTTCTAAAGCATCAGCTCACCCGCCCTCAGAATGTGTGCACGTTGTTTTCGGGGGTTGAGTGTCCACGCCAAGCTTGGAGTCTCATAAGCGAAGCTGCGTGGGAGCTCTGGTCTGTGGAGACGGGCTTACGTTTCGTATGTGCTGTTCTTCAGCTAAGCAGTAATTTCAACTTGTTTCCCCTTTTTTGTTTGGTATTTCTATGATTATTCACTTAAATTCTCATCATGATTTTGGTTCGGGTTTTAATGTTTTCACTTTGGGGTTCCTAAACATTGTTCATTCTTGCATTGCCAAAGTTATATTCCCCCCAGTTAGGTGGAGAACGACAAGAACTGCCAGCAGTGGATCCGGTCCCTGTATCCCAACGACTGCTTGTTCGGCAACATATTTCACCTGATGGTCAATGGGGACAACATCCCGAAAGACAAACCCTTGGACCCAAAGAAGATTCGCTTTAAGTCCACATGCCATTGCTTGACCCACAAGAAGGAATGCCCATTGCCAGACTTTGAAGATTTGCTTGCTGTCTTGGGGGCGCCATGTGTGTTGTTCAGCCGGTTTCTTGACATTTAATTTGCACACTTGGTTTATACCCCACAAGGTTCTGACTCCCCTTGATCGAAAAGAACACGCATTTCCTGCTTATCATCCGAGGCTGGGTGCCCGCCAGGGGTTCAAGGACATTCATCGTGCTCAAGTGCACCAAGTGGCAACAGCATTTATGAACAAGTCTTCAGGTAGCGTTCATGAGAACGTGCAGGGTTACGATGATGCCCCCCTACGCAAAGACTGCAAGCATCAGATCGACATGGCTAAGACACTTCTCTTTGCTGAGAAACATATCCCATGTTTTCTGTCTTTAAATGGGCTAACAAAAATTAGTAATTAGTCATGTTGGCATGCTTTCTTCTCCGCGCCTTGCTGACTTGCCGAGGCTGTCTCCATCGCAGTTTGGCTCACCATCCTCGAGGCCCCGGCAGTACCGTCTTACGTGGTGTGACCAGAAAAGAGCTTGGAACCATGACCCTTGTTCCTGTTCAAGTGTTTGTTTTATGCCTTTGATTTGTTGAACCCCCTGTTCAACTGTTTCCTACTAAGTCTTACGCTCCCTCTTAACCAGTATTACAGTGCCCAAGCTGGAGCTTAGGCCAAGAATTTCCAAGAGATCACTGATGCAATCCTTGCTCCGCACAATTCAATTTCCAAGATGACGCCGGAAATCTTTGCAATCGATGAATCTCCCCCGGAGGAAGTTTTTGAGAAGGGACTTCCTCAGCATTTTGGCTTTCATTTGGTCAAAGCAGGATATTTGTTTGAAGGGTTCTGCGTTCATGTTGGTGATTAGGAAAAATTTTGGGAGGATCATCCCGCTTAGTAGGTGGTTAGCAACTGGGGCCATAACCTGTCTATCAAGGGGGGCAGTCCACTTAGGACAATTATACAAACGATGGTGAACAATCTATAAAATTCTTACTAAGTCAGATTACCCTCGAAATAGGGTGTTTTGATTTAAAGCTATTGCCCACCCGCAGGAACAATAAAGCTGCTCCTGCCATCTCAGGTCTATGGTCATCAGCTTGGCCAAGTACCGCATGGCTTTCCCCAACAAAAAGATGTTTGACCTGAGCCAGTCAATCGAAAGAGCTCGGACGGATCTCAAGCATGGGGACATGTTGTGCCTTGCAACCAGTTCAACACGCCTATGGTCAGAGTCCCTGGGTCGCTGTCTGAGTGGAAAGGAAAAATTGAAATCACTCTTGTACCCAATCGAGAAATTGGATGACACGTCCAATGAATTTCCAGAGCGGGTCTTGACAAAATTTGCCGGAAATGGCATGTTCCTACCAAATGTAGGATGGGCAATGCTTTGCCATGTCCTAAATGTCCTTCCTCTAGAGCAGTGACTGTGTTCCAGCTTCTTGGGGCGTCAAAAAGAACCTGTGTGGAACAGAACTTTGATGATCCCAACATTCTTTTTTACCATCATCGTACTGCTGACCATGATTAGCTCCGTCATCAATATGTTTTGGTCCCAGCTTGATGATCCCCATTTGTTATGACCCAATATGCGGCGCCTGCTCCATCTCCTCGTGGCAGGCTGCCAAATCCAGCCCGCTGCCTGGCAAAGTACGGGCACCAAGTTGAAGGTTTGAAACTTCAGGGTAGTATGGTGGCCATGTGTGTTTGCAGGTCTTCACGCATGCACTTCTGAAGCCATTTGGCAAATTTCGCAAAACATACCGCAAAGCTAATCGATGATAATATTTTTGATTCCATCTTCAGTTACGACCAAGATGAAAAAATGATCGAAGGATTTAAACCGCGTAAACATTTACAGGAATGTCATATTGCTGGTGAATTTCATATTGCTGACAATTTTTATTCTGTTGACCTTCGGTCTTACCGGCTATGGAGCATGGCACGGTAGATGAAACTATTTGGACCAGAGGGCCCAGAGCGCAGCCGCCCTGATCCAAAGAAGGCTGCTAAGAGACCATTCCAAGTAGAACCAGAAGAAGCAGGCCAGCTGGAACCCCTATAACCCTTCAAGTGTAATGTTTTTCCCAACTGCTGCCGTTTGACTTTTTTGGAGAGGAAATTGCTAGCATGTCCAGCCCTGAGGGACACAGCCAAAGAGGAGACCCAAAAAACCAACCGTTTTTCATCGAGAACCTGAAGAAGATCGAAAAAACATATCCGGGATTGAGTCAGGGAGAGAAGTGGGCACCCTTTTTGGCAATGAACCTGAAGAGCCTTCGCATTCTCATTCATCATCGTCGGAATCAGAACCCGACAAGTCTTCTGTTTTCAATTTGGGGTGGCAACAGTTGAACATGGCTGGGAAAGCCAACTTTGCCCGGAATGCTGCTGAAGAGGGAAAGTTGCCCCGAAAAAAACGGCCATATGACAATCAGAAACGTGCTGCCCAGGCTGCTTATACACGAAAGAGTGGGCAGTTCAAGGAAAATGGGACTTCCCAGAAACGTGTGCTGGATGTAGTCTCCAGGGATATTTGTTTATGTAACTGGGTGTGAATTTATTTATTTTTTTTCTTTGCAGCAACCAATTATTTTGTTTTGTCCAGCTGCAACTATATGAACACGATATCAAAATCTTGACCTACATCCTGAACTCCGCCAGGTGCTCGACAGAAGTGCTTCTGCCAGTACCAGGTCAAAGAGCTCCATGCTTTTTTGGGGGAATTCTGGTCCCTTCGGAAGCAGGATCAAGATAGCCTTGATTCTTTGATCAATTAGTTCCTTTTTTTGTTGGCATTACATATTGGGTACCTGAAGGTGATACAGTAGCAGGAATGTTTTTTTCTTCGGGAAATGACAAATAAGTTGACCACTGCAATGGATGGAACTGGGGCGGTGGAGAGCATGAACTTCTTGGGCCAAACAGTCGGCTACACCTGCTTGGCTACAATATTAGGGATTGGGAAATCACGCTTAAAGAAGGCGATGAATAGTGTTCCAGATCTACGCTTTGGAAAACAGAAAAACATTTCCCGCAAAGACACATGGAGCGTGGATTCTTTTCTGAGTCTTCAATACCAGAATGTAGCTGAAACGTTACCCGACAGGTGCGCAGTCAAAAAACATCATGATCATCATGATGATGTTGATGTCGGTGCAAGTTTTTTTCAAACAAATGAATTTTGAATTCCTTTATTGTACCGAGCGCGTTTCCCTACTAGGTTTGTCCGCAGAGGGCGTGCTGCCAAGAAGGATGATCCAGAATTTGATATCGTAAGCGGTGTCGAGGATTCAGAACTGGTTTCGTGGTTGGAGAAGCCCGGTTTGGGTCCAGCACTACAACTGATTCAACAGCCAACTGACAAAAAGAAAATGACTAAATACCTACCCCCAGGCAGTATCTCTGACTTGTTCGAGCACTATCAATCTGCTCGCAAGCTGGTTGGTGCCAAGAGTGTCTCGTGCCCAGACCTGGATTAAAGTCACGCTGTCCTCATGGTCAATATATAGTTTGGGATATGAGCCAAAACAAAAAGAAGTAGAGTCCTCATGTTCCTTTACTTCCCAGACACAATCCCAGGTATGCCACCTTTTTGCGGGTCTTTAAAGATCGCTGGCAAGACGTCTTAAAGTTCAGGGAGAAGAATTTGCATCTTGATATAGTATTGCAAGTGGATTTTAAGATTGTTCTTTGAAACCCCGGCAATACATCAATGAGCTCGATTCACATCTTAGTGGATTTGATATGAATTCATGCCAGTCATCCCAAGGTTTTCAAGGTGTGAGTTCTGCTACCACCAGACCCAGCAAATTTCAGACCGCTCCGCCTCTCTGGAGGAAAAGCTGTGCGCCGTCAAGGTGTACAGAGAGCACCTGCATTCACAGTATTGTGACAGGACTGTGCAATGGTCGTTGGAGGAGGCATCAAGGGACCCGTCCAGTGGGATCCTTACGATCCTGCTGGACGGGATGGATCAAGCTAAATTTAGATTGCCACGGCATCCAGGGCATAGGGCGGTGTCATCAATGATACTTCATTTCAAATTAGAAAAGCTTTTGGCTTTTGAACAAGTTTTCATGTGATCCAAGCATGTGACCCCAAGAAGTTGACATTTAACCTTCTGCGGGTTCCAAAAAACAATCCAAGGGCCAATGTCATACGACCATCCCTGAAGATCCACGGAGCGTGGGCAGTGGGTTCCTTGGTCTGTCACATTTTTCGTTTCAGCCGCATATTTTTCAACGGCGTTACCACTGAATCTGTCAAGGTAAAATGTCAAAGTTCATTTTTCTGTTCAAGGGAAAAATATATCACATGGGAAGGTTGGGTTCTTAACCTCTTCGTCTTGGATGACACTTTGAAACACGATGCCTCGTGTATCTGTGAGTGCGTGGCGTTGACATTGGAAGAGGTGGTCCAAATTGCCCAAGAACGACAAGTTGCAGTTCCCCACACGGTCATAATTATGTCTGACAATTGTGTCAGGGAGTGCAAAAACCAGTACTTCCTGTTGTATTTGGCAAATCTCTGTGCCAAATATAAAGTCAGGGTCTCCGGTCTCCTCAACTTGAGGAAAGCACATTCCCACTCTGCAATTGACCAATTGTGGGGATTGATCGCCCGAAGAATTGCAAGTTGTGACAAACTCTATTCGCCTGCTAGTGTCATCACGACCATCACCCAGGAGTTGAACCGACCCAGCCTCCGCAGCTGGATAGGAATGAACTCCAAGATCAACTGCCAAAAGCTTGATGCCGTGCGAACCTGGCGAGATCAATTTCAACAAGCTCAGCGGGTGGGATACAGTGGAGGGCTTCTAGAAGATGATACAGCAAATCATTGCTATTTGATGATGTTGCGCAGAGGCCATGTCAATGTTTCCTATTTTATTACCGGGCCATCATGGTGGTCTGTAAGTCCTTCCAGCCATTAATTTTAAACCAAATATTAACTATGACTATTATGTTCTTACCCTTGGGGGAATCAGCACATAGACATAGACACTGAAAATTTGGAAACCCTGACAACGATGATTCGATGATTGTTGGGATTCAAAATGGCCAATCACTGTGTGCCTTTTGGAAAAACCTTGCAGATCTCCCGGAACAGCTAGCTGCTAACATGGAGACAGGGTCCCTGCGGGCCGCACCAAACCCATGCGATGTTGTCATGCTCATCAAGAAGTATATTTCATCAGAGAGTTTATCTCAACCGCCGCTCCGGGTCATGACTCCCCACCGCGCTTCCCTGGCAGGGTTGGTTCCAACTCAAAAGTAGCATGGGGCTGGAATTGGTATTTCTTTAACTGATGATTAATTATTGTGTTTGGTGGATTTGGATCGGTATTTCAACCATTTATTCTCTGAGCTTAATTTTATTTCATAATTTCATTTCGGTTTCTTGTCCCACCGGCGTTTGTATTCAAGGCATCCCAACAACTTCAACGCAAACTTCCGAGATCAGTGTATCAAAGTTGCTGAAGCAGTCCGGAAAAGTTATGGCCCAGAATACCGGGAGAGCGTGGACTATTTGATTGCCTTGGCCCGGAACAGCCTCTACTTACAAGCCAACCTACAGGCTCTGCCATGGCATGCAGTGATGGGCAGTGAACCGGGGGTTGGGGACCCTGTCAACCGATTGCACCCGTCAGTGCTAAATGCACTGGCACCTGCGGTGCCTCTGCGAGCTGTCTTTGGTGGGAACCGCCGGTTGTAGTTGGCCTGCGGAAGCTTTGTCTTTGACGGTTTTCTCTTGTAAACCAATTAAAAATAATCATGTGGTTGAGTAATGAAAACACGCGGTGTCAAGGCCATGAAAGGTTCCCATGTGAAGTTGTAGATCCTAGGATCCAATAACAGTTGTCCGTCGCTCATTCCGATTGAAAATGGCAACAGTAAATCAAACAGGGTGGGAAGATGGAATTACACCTTTTGTGAGATGGTTTGCTATGCCCAGGTAGTTTCCAACCTTGAATTTGGAACCCATCTCATGTTTCCCACAATTTCCCACCATACCATTTGGATTTGAAACATGGGATCAATGAAGATATTGTTTTACTTCAACTTGATAGTAACAAATTGTTTTGAAGCCTTCAGGAAATATTTCAAAATAAGAATGCAAAAAAGGATCTCTTGGAATCCCTATGGCCCCCTGGCATTGGGCGCCGCGGCTCCAGTGTGCAGCCCAGGTGTGTTGCTCTTGCCTGCCGGAGAAGGTGCTAGATGGGAAGGGGGTTGTTATTTGTTGTTGCTACGATCTTACCATCAGAAAAGTAGAAAACCATGGAAGTGGTCTGCAGCATCCAAATTCATCATCAGAAAAAGCGACGTTGAAAGAAAATGGATTGCAGTACATGTGATTTTTTCTTGATGCCATGCAAACCTCATTCGCTTAACAACTTTGTCCAGCACTAGCCTCCGAACCAGGTTCTGGTGGCTCCGTCGCGCCAGGACAACCTGTTGGTGGGGTGGCAAACCAGATTTACAGATGTGGGATTCACCCCAGGGAAGCTGAACCAACTCTGAAAAGATAGAAAAGTCTTTGAGATACCAACTTCATTACATGTTAATATATCCAAATAGTACCCCTAGGCCAGATGGTTTTGGTGGTCCGGGTTCAGAAACAAAGAGTTTTCCCCTACAAAGCCCACAAGCATAGGATTACAAGAGATTTCCCTTTGAATTAGGGTTCCAAACAATTGTGGTTCCAAAATATGTGGGTGGTCCAACATGCCCATGTTGCAACCCCATTCAAGGGAACATTGTCTAGTAGAAATTTCCATTCACTCCGGAACCCCGTTCAACTGCTTTAAAACTCAATGGGCTGCTTGACCCAAATCCAAGGACTTGTAGGTATCCATTGTTTTCAACATGGACTTGGTAAACAAATCCCTTCAATGGGAATTACATATACTTGTTCCAAACTTATTCTTGGCCCTTATAATTTCAAGGTGTCAAACACCAGCCATAACTAAGATATATTACCCAAGGCATCTTTTGTTCAGGGGTGCCATTTAAGCAAAATCAATGGACTTTGGGTTATTGGTCCAAGAAAATCGATGGGGCATGGGGGTTCCGGTTTCCCAAAATCGATGGTCATGGGGGTATCGGTTTCCCAAAATCGATGGTCATGGGGGTATCGGTTTCCCAAAATCGATGGTCATGGGGGTATCGGTTTCCAAAAATCGATGGACATGGGGGTTCCGGTTTCCCAAAATCGATGGTCATGGGGGTTCCGGTTTCCCAAAATCGATGGTCATGGGGGTATCGGTTTCCCAAAATCGATGGTCATGGGGGTATCGGTTTCCCAAAATCGATGGTCATGGGGGTATCGGTTTCCCAAAATCGATGGTCATGGGGGTATTGGTTTCCAAAAATCGATGGACATGGGGGTTCCGGTTTCCCAAAATCGATGGTCATGGGGGTATCGGTTTCCCAAAATCGATGGACATGGGGGTTCCGGTTTCCCAAAATCGATGGTCATGGGGGTATCGGTTTCCCAAAATCGATGGTCATGGGGGTTCCGGTTTCCCAAAATCGATGGTCATGGGGGTATCGGTTTCCCAAAATCGATGGACATGGGGGTATCGGTTTCCAAAAATCCAGATTTTCAATGGACTCCCCGGGCTAGAGTCGATTGAAAATCTAGGATAAAAAAGTCCATTGATTTTGATGAAGCAGCTCCCAAAGAAAGTCAATGGACTCTGGGGGGGGGAGTCCATTGAAAACCTTAGGTTTTCAAGGTCCGGCATTGACTTTGTTGTGGGCCACCTGTTGGGATATCAATGTTCAACCTGGAAAACATAGGGTTTTCAATGGTCTCTGGGGGGTAGGGTGCATTGAAAATTATGTTAGGGCTCCAACGGAAAATCAATGGACAATAATGCTCCTCATGTTGTCACTTTGACACCGATTCCCATCAGCCATCTTTTGCCCACAGGGTCTATCCAAAGACATGTTGGCCAACCCCTTCCTGAAAGTAGCCAAGCAGCTCTCAACGCCAGTCAAGAAGAAGGAGGAAGTCAAAGGTGAGGACTTCACTCCAACTCCTGTTGCGGCAAAGAAGGCTTGCACTACGTTTGAGAGATGGGTGAAACAACAAGAAGGGGATACCTCTTTGTTGCGGGATGCTTTGACCCAAGACTACTGTTTTTCAGGTAGTCTACATTACATGATTTTACAAGCTATCTAAAGGGGAACTAACTGATCCTTGGTTTATATGATTAATCCTTAGTATGGTTTATTTAAAATGAGCTGGCTGCTGCAGGCCTACAAGTCTAAAGGTCTAAAGGGGAAGTGATCCTTGGTGTGTTATCGCATTACTTAGGAAATGTATGACTTCATGGCGAGCTTTGAAGAGAACACTGATGGTGACTATCGCTCTACTTCTCACCCAGCTGATGCAGTTCCCCATCTGTTGGCTTCAGCCAATGCCGAGCACAATTCTTTGCGAATCAAAGAGCTGGATAGTTGGTACCGCCTCTATGCCGAGAAGAGGGAGAATCCCCTTCTGGTCAAATCTTGCTCATCTTTTGTCCCAACCTCAACACTCAAAGTTTGGAAACACATTTTTAAACTTACACATTTACACCTAAAGTTTGGAAACACATTTTTGCTCAGATTTTGCCCCATTTTTTTGTGAAAAAAATGTAGTTCTAAGGTCTTGGATAGAAGCATGGAGAATGACACCTTGAAGTTGCCCATCTCGGCCCTGAAGTGCCTTTTCTCATGTCCGGCATTACTATGATTATGATGTTACAACATGCATGGGTTTACCATGTAGTTTTTGATTTATCCTTGTTTGTCCCCTTAGCTTCCCTAGAGCTCTCTGAGCTTAAGGTTCACCCCACCGACAGATGGGATGCCTTGCATCCGGGACTGGGTGACAACTTGGGAGTCAATGGTGTGCGCTGGAGTGGACTTGGGAAGGGAACCTCTGTCCTGCAACGTTTCTTGCTTCATACTTAAAACAAGTTTTGGGTGATACCCCAGAAAGATTTGAATAACATATTGTTTTCTGTTTGGGATCTAGATCTGAAAGTTTGGCACGTTCTGCATAGAAAGCAAAGGTCGACTTTGGCGAGACGCCACAAGGCTGTCCATGTCGAAATTATTTGAACTCTACACCCCGCTATTTTGAATACTTCTGTGGGATTCCCTGGGTGTTACATGGGATTTGGCACTTTTTCTTTATGGGGGCCTTCTTTTGCTAGTTTGGTCCCCCTGCCCGCATCAGGTGGAAAGATTACCTTGACAGAGGGGAGCATCGATTTGGTCAAAGGCTTTACGAAGGCATCAGTCATCGCCTTTGTTTTGCTGAGCCTGGCGGAGTGCGACGTGAACACAGAGTGGGCAAAGATTCAGCCTTTCTGCAGGTTTTTAGACCGAGCTTGGCTTTTACCCATTCACGACACTAGGCTTACTTAGGCAAAACTCAGCGCAAGTTTTCAGAAAGACTGCTTTTCAACGTTGACTGATAAGTTTTTTGGTTGGAAAAAGTTAACCAGAAGAAAAAGGTTTTGATTTTTTCACAAAGAAACCCACTGAGTTACTAAATGCTTTTGGTTTTTGATCTGTTTTGGCTCGTAGCTGAGGTCAGTGTTGACCAGAACAGAGTGGAGCAGTGCTTCGAAAATTTAGTGCTCAGCTATAGAGGAAGCGAAAGGCAGCCACCTCACGTGCTTTCTTTGGCACTGACTTTTAGCCGGGTGATGCAGGACTATGCCCAAGAAGGTCGACATCCAGCTTCGTGGAACACGGAGGAACGTTTGGCCAATGTGGTCCAGAACTTCAATTCACAGGATAGCGTGCTGTCTCGCTGGGCGATTGATGAGGATCGCCAAAAGGCCATCCTGAACCTTTTGATTGGGACCTCGGAACATGCACGACAGATCATATCCGGCCACTTGGCTTCCACAAGTGGAAAGAATGCAGCTTCACATCAGAGTTGCTCAAGAGCACGCGATGGTTGCAGAACGCGCTTCCGAAAGGTTGCAAGCACATTTTCAAAAAATTGCTCGTCGTGGATGAGGAGATTCAAGAAGAGTTTTTGAAGAACCACGTGGCACACTGGATCCATGCTACTCGCAAATCCCGTCCATCAGCGAAGTCCAAGTTTCGACCCAGCCAGCAGGAATGGGACAAGCTTGTGTCATACACATGCATCATGGTCGCTTGCAAGAGGGAGGCCAAGGAGTTCTACAAGGAGGACACCGAAAAGGCTGACGAGGTGGTTACGAAGTTGAACAATGCTTTCATGTCCAGGCTTGAGTAGGGGGGGAACGGTTTTCAAAGAATGTGTTTGAAACGTTTTGACAAGCAAGATCTTTGAAGTTAACAGCCAATGGCTCATTTTTTCATGGGGTCCGTGTAGGCTTTTGTGAGGAAGTGCCCCAAAATAAGGCTCTTCCCAATGAAAAAAAGTCAAAAAAGGAAACATGGCACCCTGCAGGGACTACATGTCCGAAGTCATGGCGTGCATTGACAGTGCTGTTCCGAACTGGAATGTCCGCCACCTATCCTTGTGGAGTGAGTTGGTTTGCCCAGAAGTTCCGGAGACGGACACGGTGGATTTGGAAGCCGTGGAGGAGGCCACTGCAATTGCTCTCTACCAAGAGGTGAAATCCAAGTTGTCGTCACTTTGATGAAAAGCTTGCTTTTTGGTTTTTGTCTTGTATGATGATGTTGTTATTTGAAAAACTCATATCATTTTTCAAAGCCATATTGTCAAGAAGTCCATTTCAGGGGGGTGACAGGGACACAAAAAAAATTACCCCCGAGGAGGGTAATTTTTTGCTTCTTTTGTCAAACAGGTTTTGAGTAATAGTCCATGTCATTGCCATTTCCTGCTAGGCTTGATGAGACTGCTTGGGCATCTTACCGGCGACTGTTGACCAAGAAGGCAGCACGAGATCATGTTGTCACTGTTCAGCACGCCAAGGCCCAGAACACTATCGGCTTGGGGAGCCTTGGCTTTTGTTTCAAAATTCAAACCATTTTCCAAATCATACCATACTTTTTATTTTTCAAAACCATCACGACAAGTTTTGCAAAAGACCCTGGACTGCATCTGGACCGAAGGTCTTGAAATATAAAGTCGAGGCTAATAACAATTGTGAAATTATTCTTTAACCCGGAGGGTCTTGAAATCAATCGTTAGAGATGGTTAGAGCTGATTGGGTTTGTTCTGTCATCCCATTCCCTAAGGATTGCGGAATCCTACATGGAGAAAAATTGCAATGTGAACATGGTGAAAGACCTCGGTACCATGCCCAATGTTGATGCCTGGCTGAAGCAGGCTGCTGCAGAGTTGAAGGCCGGGGGTCGTAGAAAGACTGGTTGATCAACTTCATAATTTTATGATTTGCATGATTACACATGCTAAATTTCATAATTCATGTTTTTTAAACTGAGAAAATATTTAAAAAGCGTTATATTTCCTGGGTAGGTGGAGCTAAGTCCAAAACAAGCAAATAGTGGTATCTTGCAAAATTGGTCGAACAACTGATCCGGACAGGACGGTTGGTATGATGTCTGCGCGCTGTAGAGGGCCCCAATAAGAATCTTATTCCCTTCCTGGACCCTTTCTCCTGTGGGCCCTTCAGATAGACTTTCTTCTTTTTGGGAACCGTAGTCTCGCCGCGGCGTGTACCAAAGCATAGTTGACTTCTCAAAAGCTTTCAAATTTTGGAATGTATGCGAGGCCAGAGTCGGCTTTCGAGCTGTGCATGTTGTGAGGCGTTGTGTTTTTGTCAATTTTCGCATTTTTGATCTGCGTCTCCCCACATTCCATTTGGGCAAATTTCACATAGCTCAGTCCAAAAGTGACGGTGTGTTCAAGAACTTGCGGCATGAGTATAAACCATGATTCTTTTGGTGTTGCAATTCTATTGAGGTATCTGTGTCTGAATGCAGGACAGAAAGAACCTTGTCCCCTTACAGCTTGTTTGGGTGATGATGATGATGATGATGATGATGATGAAAAAGTATGACATAAACCTTACCATGCCTCCTGATGCCAATACATTACATGCAGCCAGCCAGGAGCACACCCAAATTGTGACAGCTATTGTGTGAGCTGGTCACTCCTCGGTAACGCTTATGCCAAGTGTTTGACAGGAGATAATTTCTGGAGGTGATACCAACAGACTTCAAAACTAGTTTCATCAATTTCTTTCAGAGCGCATGCCAACAAATTTGATTTGGAAATTCGAATTGGGAAGAAACAAGGAAGTGGTAACCAGAAAACTACGCTGGACCCGTTCCACGTCCAAACTCCAAATCGAGGGCACAAGGGCACACATGCCCGAACAAAGAAAACTTGGCCCCAAACATCTTTTAGTGAAATTAGTTGTCGATGCAATATCTTCCATGGAAACGACTTTAAACTGTTTCTTCTGCGGTAGAAGTTTGATGGGGCTTGCTTTCCTTGGGCATAACACAGCACATTCAAAAGGAGGTATAAGTACAGTACGTATATATTCTTTTCACTCCCGGGCCCGAGTGAATGCCCCAAGCTACTAGAGAAAATACTTTCAAAAAGGCCTTTGGGCACTCCAATGTGATTGCCTGCGCAGCCAGTATAGTTCATCATTTTGAATTCTCCCTTGGGTTTGGGCCTGCCACACAAATCAAACACAGATGTCCTTTCTCTCGGACTCACAAGTGAAGGGCTAAACTTTGATTTGTTATGGGGCCCTCAAAAAGATATCGTTTTTTTTGGAACTATAATCCTGTGAACCATGCTACTCGTATCACCTAGTTTAGGTGCCTTCAAAAAATATAGTTCCTTTTTCTTGGAAACATAATTTGTGTCTTCAAACAAATATAGTTCCCTTATCTGGACCTATGATTTGTGAGGCTGCGCTTTTCCTGCTTTGGGAGCCTTCCCAACAAACATACTGATTTCTCGGAACTATAATCTTTGGGGCTGCCCTTTTCAAAAGTTTCGGAGCCTTCCAAAAAATATAGCCCGATTTTTTGGATCTATGATTTTTAAAGCCGCGCTTTTGCAGGTTTGCCGCCCCGACCGCTCCAAAAAAAAGTTCCTTTGTTTGGAACTACAATCTTTGGGGCTGCGCTTTCGCATGTTTCGGAGCCTTCCTAAAATGTTTTTCCCTTTTTTTGGAACTATTATAATTTTTGAAGCTGCTTTTTTGCACGTTTAGGACGCTCCCAAAAATATAGTTCCTTTCTTTCAGGTTTGGTGGCCATCCCAAAAATATAGTTCTTTTTTTTCCGGAACTATAATTCTGGAAGCTGTGTTTTTTTCAGGTTTGAGGGCCCTCCCAAAAATATAGTTCCTTTTTTTCCGGAACTATAATTTTTGAAGCTGTGTTTTCTCAGGTTTGGGGGCCCTCCCAAAAATATGTCCTTTTTTTCCGGAACTATAATTTTTGAAGCTGTGTTTTCTCAGGTTTGGGGGCCCTCCCAAAAATATAGTTCCTTTTTTTCCGGAACTATAATTTTTGAAGCTGTGTTTTCTCAGGTTTGGGGGCCCGCCCAGAAATATAGTTCCCTTTTTTCCGGAACTATAATGTTTGAAGCTGTTTTTTTTTGCACGTTGGGGACGCTTCCAAAAATATAGTTCCTTTTTTTCCGGAACTTTAATTTTTGAAGCTGTGTTTCTTCAGGTTTGGGTGCCCTCCCAAAAATATAGTTCCTTTTTTTCCGGAAATATAATTTTTCAAGCTGTGTTTTTTCAGGTTTGGGGACCCTCCCAAAAATATAGTTCCTTTTTTCCGGATCTATTATTTTTGAAGCATTTTTGAAACTGTGTCTTCTCAGGTTCGGGTGCCCTCCCAAAAATATAGCTCCTTTTTTTCCGGAACTATAATTTTTGAAGATGTTTTTTTTGCACGCTGGGGACGCTCCCAAAAATATAGTTCCTTTTTTTCCTCAACTGTAATTTTGGAAGCTGCGTTTTTTCAGGCTTGAGTGCCCTCCCAAAAATATAGTTCCTTTTTTTTCGGAACTATAATTTTTGAAGCATTTTTGAAACTGTGTCTTCTCAGGTTTGGGTGCCCTCCCAAAAATATAGCTCCTCTTTTTCTGGAACTATAATTTTTGAAGCTGTGTATTTTCACGTTTGAGGGCCCTCCCAAAAAGATAGTTCCTTTTGTTTGGAAACTATGTTTGTCCAAAGTTGTTGATGTTGCGCTGCTAGCTTTGGATTTTTCAAGTTGGGAAGTCAGTGCCCCGAAAAAAGTTGGTATATTGAAAAATTATTGGCTCAAAAGGATTCAAAGCGAGGAAAGAAAAAAACACAAATCCAGGCACCAAAAAAATATAACCCCTGAAAAAAATTATAATCCCTGAAAAAAAATAAAGTTCCAGAAAAAAAGGAACTATAATTATAATGCCTTTTTCACCAAAAAATGTACATACTTTTTTTGTTTGTTTTTCCTTTTTTCCATTTAAAAAAACAAAAAAGTATATATACCGAGGGTGAAAACAAGGGTTGTATATATACTTTTTTGTTTTTTTACATGGAAAAAAGGAAAAGCAAACAAAAAAAGTATGTACATTTTTTGGTGAAAAAGGCATTATAATTATAGTTCCTTTTTTTCTGGAACTTTATTTTTTTTCAGGGATTATAATTTTTTTCAGGGGTTATATTTTTTTGGTGCCTGGATTTGTGTTTTTTTCTTTCCTCGCTTTGAATCCTTTTGAGCCAATAATTTTTCAATATACCAACTTTTTTCGGGGCACTGACTTCCCAACTTGAAAAATCCAAAGCTAGCAGCGCAACATCAACAACTTTGGACAAACATAGTTTCCAAACAAAAGGAACTATATTTTTGGGAGGGCCCTCAAACGTGAAAATACACAGCTTCAAAAATTATAGTTCCAGAAAAAAAGAAACTATATTTTTGGGAGGGCACCCACACCTGAGAAAAAACAGCTTCAAAAATTATAGTTCCGGAAAAAAAGGAACTATATTTTTGGAGGGGCCTCAAACCTGAAAAAGCACAGCTTCCAAAATTATAGTTCCGGAAAAAAAGGAACTATATTTTTGGGAGCGTCCCCAACGTGCAAAAAAAACAGCTTCAAACATTATAGTTCCGGAAAAAAGGGAACTATATTTCTGGGCGGGCCCCCAAACCTGAGAAAACACAGCTTCAAAAATTATAGTTCCGGAAAAAAAGGAACTATATTTTTGGAGGGACCTCAAACCTGAGAAAACACAGCTTCAAAAATTATAGTTCCAGAAAAAAAGAAACTATATTTTTGGGAGGGCACCCACACCTGAGAAAACACAGCTTCAAAAATTATAGTTCCGGAAAAAAAGGAACTATATTTTTGGAGGGGCCTCAAACCTGAAAAAACACAGCTTCCAAAATTATAGTTCCGGAAAAAAGGGAACTATATTTTTGGGAGGGCCCCCAAACCTGAGAAAACACAGCTTCAAAAATTATATTTCCGGAAAACAAGGAACTATATTTTTGGGAGCGTCCCCAACGTGCAAAAAAAACAGCTTCAAAAATTATAGTTCCGGAAAAAAAGGAACTATATTTTTGGAGGGACCTCAAACCTGAAAACACAGCTTCAAAAATATAGTTCCGGAAAAAAAGGAACTATATTTTTGGGAGGGCACCCAAACCTAAAAAAACACCGCTTCCAAAATTAAAGTTCCGGAAAAAAGGGAACTATATTTTTGGAAGGGCCCTCAAACCTGAGAAAACACAGCTCCAAAAATTACAGTTCCGGAAAAAAAGGAACTATATTTTTGGGAGCGTCCCCAACGTGCAAAAAAAACAGCTTCAAACATTATAGTTCCGGAAAAAAGGGAACTATATTTCTGGGCGGGCCCCCAAACCTGAGAAAACACAGCTTCAAAAATTATAGTTCCGGAAAAAAAGGAACTTTATTTTTGGGAGGGCACCCAAACGTGCAAAAACGCAGCTGCAAAAATTTTAGTTCCGGAAAAAAAGGAACTATATTTTTGGGAGCATCCCGAACGTGCAAAAAACAGCTTCAAAAATTATAGTTCCGAAAAAAAAGGTATATATTTTTGAGTGTCCCAAACGTGCAAAAAAACAGCTCCAAAAATTATAGTTCCGGAAAAAAAGGAACTATATTTTTGGGAGGGCACCCAAACCCAAAAAAACACAGCTTCCAAAATTATAGTTCCGGAAAAAAAGGAACTATATTTTTGGGAGCGTCCCAAAGGTGCCAAAAAAACAGTTTCAAAAATTTTAGTTCCAAAACAAAGGAAAAAATAGGAAGGCTCCGAAACATGCAAAAGCGCAGCCCAAAGATTGTAGTTCCAAGAAAAAGGAACTATATTTCTTGGAAAACACCAAAACCTGGAAAAGCGCATTTTCAAAATCATCCAATAAAAAGGACCCCATATTTTCTGGAAGGCTCCGAAACCTACGCAAGCACAGCGTCAAAAATTATAGTTCCCAAAAAAAAGGAACTGTATATCTCGCGGAAGGCTCGGAAACCTGGAAAAGTGGAGCGTCATATAGCTCAAAGAAAATCAAGAAAGAAAGACACAATATTTCTTAGAAGGTTTCCAAGCCGGGAAAAGGACCGCCCAGAGATATTGTTTGAAGGTCTCCCAAACCCGGAAAAGGGGAGTTTCAACGATTATAGACAAAAGAGAAGGATCTATATTTGTTCAAAGGCTCCGAAACTTGCAAAAACGCAGTTTCAAAAATCATAGCTCCAAAAAACATCAAAAAACAAAGTATTTTTTTAGAGCGAAAGCATCGCCCAAAAAAATTGAAAGGAACCATATTTCCACATAAGGGAGGGCTCTAAAACAAGAACAGCACATCACCCAAAGTTATAGCTGCAAAAAGAAGAAGCAATTTTTGGATGGTTCCAAAAACAAGAAAAACCCAAAAAATATTGTTCAAACATGTTCAAACACCAAGGGAGAAATATATGTTGAAAAGGTTCCAAGCACCGCTCGCAAATCTAAAACCGTTTCGTGCCCAGCTGAGGAAAAAAACGATAGAAAATGAAGGAGCCGGTCTTTCTGGTTGCCAGCTCAAGGACCACCAAACATATAGCTCAAAATCGTACCCTAGTTAAAAGAACAACCACTTTCTGAAAGCAATAACTCCGACAAGCAGTAAGCATGAGTTTGGCGGCCTTGCGGTGCTATCATATGGGAAAGAACTGCACAAAATGTTTTTTTTTGGGTGCCACTATGGAAGACATAGACACCGCGGAAACACTGTTTATTTGAAACAAACATGGAAACCATATCTTGACAGCCAGCTCTGAAAAGGCATTGGAGGCCGAGGGGGAAAACAAACAATCTGTATCTTTCGTGGAAGCACAATTCTAGACAACAAAAAAACCTGCAAACATAGACGCCTACGAAAAATGAAGAATATGATGGTGGTTCACTGTTCACACTATGAGAACACGAACGCATCATGTGGACAAACATAATTTGGTTCAAAGGAAACTATCTAAACATGGTGGTGAAACAGGGGAAACGTGCGGCGTGGACAGAATGGTTGTCCTGTAACTATACCGCGTGCTTACAAGGTCCCCATCCTGGTTTGAAATGTCAATCTTCTTGAAAGCAGCAAAAACGTAAGAGCTATTAGCTGTTACCATCAGTCTTGGAAGCAGGCCGCCTGCAAAGCAAAAAAACTAAAAACAATCCTGACAAAGCATGCGGGACACTCACACAAGTCACACAAGACAGAACACCTGCACACAGACACACGCACACACACACGCCGCAGAATCATTGTGTGCAGTTTTTTTTCAACAGGTTTTAGTTGAATTTTGTTTAGTTGGGTTCCACCCGCGATTTTGCAAATGCGTATTGCGCAGTTTTCCATGACTCGACACCCTGAATTGCAGTTCTGGTCCTTCAGACTTCGCAAGATGATGTGTCTGACTGACTTTGCGAAAGGGTAAACATACTTTTTGCAAGACTGTGTTGTTCAGTGTGTTTTGGGCTAACTCCTCTGTAGGCCAAAAATAAAACCCTTTTTCTAAATATACCACCTTGAATTATGAAATTTAGCAATTACACACCACTTATTTTCATTCACAAGCAATAAAAATAGATCCTCCAACCCGAACACAGGTTACCCCCGGCTGGCAGGTGAAACCTGAACAGCTGTTTGTGGTGGTGCTGACAGATTACACCAAGCATGGCACACTCACGACAAACATGCTGAACAAGCACACTGCGCTGATGACAAAATGCATGGCTAAGAACCCAAAGCGTACCTCTTCAGAATTATGTTCTGTTTTTCTTCACGTCACCTCATTCCACCTATTTTCTTTAGTAAGCTGGCTTGGCTTTGCCCCAAATTGTATCCCGGGATGATCACCCAAGTCAGGTTCTGCTGGATTGATCATGGCGCCCTTGTTGGCGGGAACGGCCGGAGGTGGCTCACTTCGCTCTGACTGGAGGACAGGGTGGAAAATAAAAAATAGGGCTTTTTCTTTTGGGGATATGTCCAAAGAAAGGGGGACCCAAAACACCGAAAAATAATCAAAGAAACTAAAGTTACTAAAGCCTTCGGCCCCGTTCTTTATATATTATACTTGTGGTTTAATTCACCTGTTTTTGGAAAGCATTGTTTTTCAATGCCATATTTAAAGTTTGGACGGCGGTAAACGGAACATGTATGAAAATGTGTTTTAGTTTTCCCAGAAAAAGGCTTATCGAGAACAAGCTCGAAGAGAACAAGCTGGGAGTCCGAGACATCCGTGTGGCAGTAGATATGCAAGGCATTCACCGAAATTCTGAACGGCCTGCATATTTTCAGGCGTGGATCACAGTACCAGATCTCTACCTCCCTACGAAGGGAACGGCCTATCGGGCCAACAGGCATGACGATCAGCAAGTCAAGCCCGGGGAAGTCAGTGAGATTTGCTCTGGGGAGTTGTGGCGGCTTCAGGGCCTACCGTTTGACATGTTGCCAGCTGCACTGTCTGAAGGAGACTTCCGAGTCCCCTCAGCAAAGGCTCATCTGTGCGCTCAGGACGGTCGAAAAAATCTCACTGACTTGCAGGAGACTGCACAATGGCTGGCAGGAGAAGCTGTTACAAGCAGTTTGCTGAAGGCTTTGCTGGGTGTATCGGGTTTGCTTAGCAACATGTTGTTTCTATATTATGTTTTTGGATGTTTATGGTCGCTTTTATTCATCATGATTTTCAAATTTTGGTGGGTCTTTTGTTGAAAGTTTCTATGTTTTCAAATGTGTTAATCCCAGACCCAGGTGAAAACCTCAAGAGGGCTGCTGTCATCCATACCACACCTTACTGTGCAAGTGTGGAAAAGGCATGCTTGAGCCTGAAAGTGCCGATCCTTTCGGTCACCGAGAGCTCTGTGAACCACAGCTTCACGCTTCTTTCCGTGTCTCAGGGGCTGTTGGAGGAGACTATCTTTGGAAATGAATGTCTGTAAGAGAAAATAGTTTTAACGAACATTAGTTTTTCAAAAAAAGTGTTTTTAATTGGTTTTACAAAATCCCCGGGGGCAGGATTGGAAAAATGCTGTTGGTGGCATTGGACGGAGCCTCCCGAAGTACCAGAAAGAGCCTACTGAGCAGGACACCATGGCAGTTGAGGCGGAGGTGCCAACTCTTCACCTCTGCGAGGTCAAGGATGAGATGTTGCAGGTACCTATGACGGTACGCCAGCAATACTTGCAAGATCCTGTTCGATCTTGTGAGTGGAAAGCCATCTTGAAGGAGTTTGACAGGAAGTGGACTACCGATACTTCAGCACAGCAGAGCAGCGGTGACAGTGTGCAGCAGAGCAATGGTTCTGGCAATCAGGGATTCAAGTGGGAGGAGATCTTTGCTGATGAACCTAGCACCAGATCAGACCTGGAGTCAAGGTATGGCACTCCTGCGGCAAGCTTTGCCATCAACGAGACTTTGTCTGCTTGCATTGTCGAGGGGCCGCGTTTGTTCTTGGTCTCGTCGGGAGAAGCTGAGTTTGGCACGAAGGAGCCGATTGTGTGCTACGGAGCCGGGGTGTGGCTTCTTGATTCCAAAGCGGAGACATTCCGTCAGGACTGTTTTGTGGATGAAACAAATTGAGACGTTTTGATGTTAGATTTTTGTTTGCACAATAAAAAAAATCCCTGTTTGGCTTGCTCCAAACTGTCAGGAAAACCCTGGGAAAGGCTACAAGTTTGAGCTTGAGGATGACAAAAGTTTGGCAGTGCTGGAGGACTGGGCTATAAAGGGTTGGGTGCTTAGTATTAGCTAGATAAGGTTTGTCCTCGGGGCCCCCGCCCACCCCCCCATAGTGTACTTTTTACTTTTTTAGAACCTGAAATAACCTGAACTAATTTTCAACTTTTTGACACCTACCGCCGGTATCTTCAACATGACACCAACCTGAAGAGAAGGGCGTGTTAGTCAGTTAGTCAGTTAGTCAACAAAACGGCTTCCTTTGCCCACGGCGCGTGAGGACAGTGATGGAAATGATGGTGAACCTACTACGCTCCGGACCATCATCCAGTCTGTGGAGCAGTCTGGCACTGTGGATTTTGAACTTGCCGGCCATGATCTTTCCCGGCCACCCGAAGTATGCCAGGGATCTGACACAACCGACAGGCCAGAAATTGAACAAACTCCGGGGTTCCCACTAATAGTATCTGAATCTAATAGCTAGTAGTAGTAGTAGTATATATATAGTATATATACATATATATATATTATAACTTGATGCCTTGATATATCCCACTGCTAGTCTTATAATATGCTGCTGGTACTTACTTTAGGCCCCACAAAGTTTTGGACACTTGCCACATTGCAGGTTCGATGTCTCTGTCAAGGATTCTATGATTTGGAAGCCTTCCAATGTTCAAATCCGCAACTTGAAAGCGAAGAACTGTGCCAGCTACTTCGACGCCAAGCAGGTGCTTGAATCCAAGGCCGTCCTTCAGGCCAGTTCCCTGAACATTTTTTTTAGACCAACCAAATGTTTATGTTATCTAGTAATCTATCGACCGATCTATCCGTCCATCCATACATCCATCCATCCACTGATCCATCTATCCATCCATCATCATCTATCCATCTATCCACCCCGGGCCCGGCTATCTTTCTATCTTTCTAAATGCTATCTAGTGGTATCTATTGCAATCTTTTAATTGCTATCTATCTATCAATCTATTTATCTATCTATCCATCTATCTATCCATCTATCTAATCTAATCCAATCACATCTAATCTAACAACCTGATCTCTCTTAGTCACAACCTGCAGGCTTGGCGTCTCCGGATGTATACCACGGAAAAGATCTTGGGGGCTGCAAAGCCTTTGCTCTTTTTGAAAGCTAAGCTTGCGCTTGGCAATGGTCAGTGCAAGCGTATTTTGTAGATATGGCAGCTTGGTCAGGTGATCTGGTATTCAACACAAAAATCTTGCAGTAATTGTTCAAACATGATTCATGATTATTTAGTTCAAACCATTCGTACTTGTTCAAAATTCTGCTATGTGGAAAACCATGCGCCAAGGATGTGCCAAGGTATGAAACGATAGGTCTTTGGGGAGGCCTCAATCCTGGTCTCTTTTGTTTAGACAAATTTGGTCTTTCTGGGGTCTGGCAGCACAATCTCAAAACATGAATTGTGCGAGAGCTAGTGACTGGGTGTGTTTACCCACATGTCTTGTTGGACCGGACCGGACCCGGGTTACCCTGCCATCAGCGAGAACAAAACCCTGCCCCAGCCGCATTGTGTCCTGCATTTGTAGAAGCCACTGTGACTGGTCGCAGGTCCTGCAGTCAAGCAATTATCGCATAAACTACCATATATAGGTATTTTGGGTCAAGCCAGTGGAGCCCTAGCTTTTGTAAGATCTGTAGAGGCCCCATGGTGAACTTTCACTTGGTTGTAGAAAGCCAGTCTGATGTTGAGTTCACAGAGCCTGCTCCCCCGTCATGTGGTTTCCATACCATTGAAGCCCCAGTCTCAACGCAGCTTGTGGGGTTGGGATGGAACCCACGAACTGGCATGATGGCTTTGCCGGTGGGGGTCAGTGACAGTGATGTGCGGGTGTCGCTTGACGAGAAGTTCTTGGATGCTTCAAATTCCCCGAGGAGGACAGAACTCTGAGTTTCATAAATTTATCTTTATTATATAGATATTATATATATTCTATGATGTAACATGTATATATTAAAATACAAAAACATATTATAATATAATATAATGTATATATAATTATATAATATTCATTCATGGGGTATGCTTCTATGTTCACAAAATTTAGGGACTTTGTCTTAAAGAATCTGGAACACCTTTCCCTTCTAGGACCGAACCACCGTCATCACCACGACCACCATTGCGGAGAAGTACGAAACTCAGTGCAGCCAAAAGCAAGGCATCTCCTTCCAAGCCTGAAGACCTTCCTGGTGACGACATCTCCCACGGTGACATGGACGAGCCTTTGACGGACCTGTGTGACTCCCAGCACCTTGATGCCTGTGAGATCCCGGGGCCTGCAGACCTGACTCCCACTCTCTCCCCAGGGTCTCCTTGGGAGAAAGACTCCGATGAACAGAAACAGAAATGGAAGGAAATCACGGACAAGTGCCTCAAGAGCAAGAGCCCGCTCGTCAGATACCTGGCGAAGACTGCTGACCCCCCTCCTGAGATTCCGAAGGCTGCTGACACCCCTCCTGAGCTTCCAGATTCACAGGAGACCGTTGTCATGATGGGAGCGTCTTCACCAATGCCACTGGCAAAAGCCAAGGCAACCGCAAAGGCCAAAGGAGCAGCCACAGCAAAGAGCAAGAGCAAGGCCAAGGCCAAGGCCAGACGCCCAAGGGAAAGGAAGTCAGAAGAGCACAAGGCAAAGATCCACCGAGAAGGTTCAAAGCGCTGGCATTTGAAAAGGGGGGAGCAAAGGAGTTCCTCGAGTACAGCCCCAAGAGGATGGCAGGAAGTGCAAGAAGGGCAACAAGAACGTCGATTCCAAGGACATCCCCAAGCCGGAGCTGGATTGTGAAGACAAGCTCAAGAACCAGAAGTCCAAGCAGGTCATCGAGCCCAAGCCTGAGACCAAAAAGCGATCCCGCGCTTCCCGTCCTTCCAGTACTTTGCAGCCAGCGCCCAAGACATCCAAGACATCCAGGGCATCCAAGACCAAGCAGCCCGACGAGACGCCCAAGACCAAAGTGCCCGAGCAGATTCCCGAGGAGCGACATCCAAAGAAAATTGTGTTCTTTGAAAGGGTTTGGATCACAATAATTATTGTCTAAACCACCATCGAAAAAATATAGTATATGCACTCAATTAATTTACAATACGTATTATTTACCAGATCTCAAGGATGTAACATGGAATCATTAAACATACATTTATCTTGGGCCCCTTTGAGATCTGTTACTTTCAAACCACCTACCACTAGACTGACCGGATCTGACCGGTATGTAAAGCCAAACACTTTGGGGTTTGAGGACCACCTATATCTCCACTTTCAGGATCTGAAGACAGCTTTGGACAAAGACCACATGCCAGCCCTCCCGACGAATGATCTCCGTAAGACAAAGGCTGCTTTCATTGAAGAAGCTGTCAAGGTCATGAATGCTTCCAATGATGGGTCCGAGTTACTTTCTTCCCGTGACAAATATCTTACGGGTATGAGCATGTGGATGAATTCTGCCACCAGGGCAGTTTTGATGGCTGGTAAGAAGCCAGGGTTTGCTGCTGTGACTGACCGTTAGGTTTGACCTGATGATTCCATAAGGGGCTTGGGGTAAAAGCCCTTTTTGCCAGTTGATGTGGCGAATACATGCCAATACGCTCTGCAGAAAGAAGGTGAAAAATAATGCAGGTCTCCAGATTTCTGATTTTATGATGTTTTATCTGATTTTATTTTTTCTGATTTCCTTCGTCCACATGCTCATACATTTACTTATAGAATATCACAAGCCGCTTCCCGCGGTCCTCTGCAGGAGCGCCACGAAGAGATGCGGCGGCAGCCGCTGAATGTGGCTGATGGTCTTGGGAATTGTATATATATATATATACATGGGATCTAGACCTAAAACACCAGCCCCATTTACAGTGAAATTAGACCCAAATACATTGAAAGAAACATCTAAATGGTCCATGTTCATCCGTTTTCCAGATGTTAGTTGACCAGAGGCTAGCTGGTAGCAGAGTTGACCAACAAAGCAATGTCTGGCCGTCTGGCCAACTTGGGATTTGGAGATTTGATTTCACCAACAACTGGGCGATTCAACCGAAAATTGCTGTTGGAAATGGGTCTTCTCTAAAGAATTGGATAGAAATTTGGTGTATCTGATTGGAAACTTTCGTTTTGCGCTTTATTATCTTTATTTGGTTTCAAGGGCGGCCTCCCTGAAAAGCGATGAACAAATGCCATATACTGACAGTCAACCTTGGACTTGGGTGCCTTGAATTCTGCATAATATGACCGTTGAAAAGTTAAGAATCAACGCGCTAAACAACCTAACCTTGTCTTCATACAACATAATCCAACCCCTCCAGCGCCTCAAAATCCAACTCAGCATTCGCAAAAGTCAGCGGCAAACAAAAACAAAATCTCAGCATTCGGAGCATCATCGCAAAGACCAATGGCCAATGCTTCAGATTGCTCACCTCGCCCGCGAGGCAATCGATGCGTTTTCTTTTTGGTTCGCTGCGTTCGGTAGTAAGGAAGGGAGTGTGATTTGAGCCCAGGACTGCGGAATGGCAGAAAAGTACCTGAACAGTTTGGAAGCAATCCCTTCTCCTAAACCATCTAAACCTCCCCCAAATAATAACAACTATATACTGGGATCTATTCCCAACTTTTCGGGGTTTGAATCGCGTTTTTCAATTGTAGCATCAATTTCCGTGCTGCACCTGCTAAACGCTCGCCCCTGATGGCCCCCAGACGTTGTCTACCAGAAGTTCTGTGCCCTTGTCGGTCCTAAGCTGTCAGCTGTGACAGAAAAACTTACGACTTCAAGAATGGGGGCCCTCTACTATAGCTGTGAATCGGGCTACCCTGTGGCAATCAGGCATGGAAATAGGACATGTGACATGTCATTTTTTTACCGGGAGATAAACAAAAATTACAATAAGTGGAAAATCATCGATGGAACCACCTAATTTTACAGATCATCTAATCAATGAATGCAAAGAGATCTAAACAGATGGAATAGGCACTACCAGCTCAAAGAAAGGGCCTACAAGAACACAATCACAAAATTACAACTGCGAACCCCCCAATATGGACGCAGATTCCCTCCCCAATGCACCCACTGTCTTGTTTTCCCCACTAGCCAATTCCATACATCACCAAGTCTTGGTGGTATCATGTGGTATCCCGGTATCTCCCGTGTTTGCCAGGATTGATTCAATGGCAACTTCAAAACCTCTGGGTTTGATGCTTAAAAATAAATCTCTTCAACATGCAGTGGATCCAAAGGTCTTAGGTTAGTAGATTCCGGTTTGTTATCTATGTTGATCCAAGTTTGTTGGTTTCTTCCACATGCTCCGTTGCATCCACCCCCCAAAATCAGCTGCAGCGTCTTGAACTTCAGCTTGCCATCTGCTTCCTGGCTTGGGCTGTAGTGAGGGCTGGAAGAGGCACTTGGCGCCATGTGCATCATGGCCCACCACGGATCGCATCTTTTTTCCAAGCATCAGACTGTTCGATCTTGCAAGCTAATGGAGCTAAGAACTTGAGGGTGGAGTTGAAAGGTCCCAAATCTGTCGCGATTGAATTTCGAGTCATCCAGTAATTAGTGTCCCTTCTGATTTCGACCTTCCTCCCATCATTCTCTTCGTCGGCTTGCTGCGCATGTTCCATGCACAGCACGCATTAAACTTGTATGCTCCCCGTGCGCTTTGCGCCCCGGTTGGACACTGGATTGCCCGGTTGGGCCCTGTGATGAGCAACCCACTATTTTTTATCCCAAAAATTGCCAGTTCTGATCAGTTGAGTTTCTCAACACCTCTAAAACCGTATGCAATGTTGTTGGGGATCTTGGCAGGATGGCAGGATGGCCAAAGCATCTTTGAAACATCTCTCTGAGCCTTTTTCAAATCCTCACCTTGGTTCAAAAGTCCGTTGTTACATCATCTTAGATCCCAGTTTGGTTTGAAATAGTTAGAAGAAACACAACATAACATATGTATATGTACGTACAAAACGAAACAAACAATTGCCAGGGCAGCGCTTGGGGTCGGCTAAACCTCACCTTCGGTGAGCTGCTTTTTCAGGTCCAAGGGATGATTTAAGTACCAGCTTGCCATCGGAAACTGGCTATGGTCCTGGCCTGATTGGTGGAATGGATTTGGAAATGTTGGGAACATCTCAACAGGAAACGAAACATAGGGCCTAGGGGCGTCCTGTTTCGAAGAGAATTGGATGGTGCCAGTAGACAATAAAAAACCCGAAACCTTCGTATTTAATGGACAAATGCATGATTTCTAGTCATATGTTCCCCGAATTCTATTGATGGCTCCGCAGTTTCCAACCATCTGGGGATCATCATCCCATGTCTATGGTTGAAAATGACCAACATATTGAAGCCACGAACCAGTGGTTCTTGGCAAAGCATCCATTCAGCTTCTTAACCAAACTATCTTGGGGGTCAGTTCCTTCTGTTGGCACACCATGCAATCACTCTAAGCTACCAAGGTTATAGTTTGGAATCTTGGAAGGAATGAGGCTGCATGCGCGCAGGTATGGTCGTATGTTTACTTTGATGGTAGATGTCAGCAGCCAGATACAGAATGGAGGACAATTACACATTGACAGAACTGGCCAAAAAATGAGGAGGAGCATATGGCACATGTCCACTATTTGTTTCATATATTTGGCATATCTTCAGACCGGGCCGCAGGATGGGAACCTCATCCTGGACCTGTGCAGAAACGCCGCGCGCAATGCTTCGACTCATATCTCATCTCGTCTCAGTCATCCTCAGCATGGCCCAATAAAGGTCACGGGCACATGATATGCCTGGAAGTGCCCTGCTATTCCAACATAGCGTGTCTCAAAACTAAAATGTCCAACTTCTGTGGGCTACAGACTGTTGGATCTTCCTTTCTTATAATGCGTATATCATGGTAATGGTATTTTGTGGTAAACTAACATAGCGAACTGGAAAATCTACCCATTTTTAATGGGTAAATCCACTAGAAATGGCCATGTTCAATAGCTTTTTGTATGTTTACCAGAGGGTATATCGGATATATAAATCCCTGTGAAAACCGATTGATGACCATCCCCCAAAACCTGGGTAACTTAGAAGAATTCACCGGCCTGAAAAGGGGACTGTGGGGGATAGTTACCTTTACTAACTATTTTGTTTACTGATATGTAGCAGTTTCTATGACTACTATTGACTACGGTAACTAGATGGCTCAGGCATCCCCGCCAGGGTCCAATGACCAGCTGCATGCGAACCCCTGCTAAGACATCATGGATGTCTGTCTATATCTTCCTGGAAACTCTCTCTTAAAAATGTTAAGACAGCATGTCCAAATTTCATCAAGGATCAGAGAGATTACCCCATGTATCCCATGTTGGACCCAGCGAACACCCAGTTGTACTGCCAGCATTTCGCGGCTTTCCGAGCCCAGGGACTTGTGAGAAGCTATCCTGGCGCGACAGCGAGAAGGTCGACACATTCCTGGCGAGCTGAATGGATTGACTTGAGTTGGTGAAAATCTAGAGGAAACATGAGGAAACACCATAGAAAGTACCCTCTGGCAATTTAACATAGCTATGGAACATCACCATTTTTAATGGGAAAACTCACTATAAATGGCCATTTTCAATAGCTATGTTAAATTACCAGGGGGTAACAGTTTCTTTTTTTTGCTTTGGGGGTTCTGGTATTCGGTATTCATATGTCTTTGGGGGTTCTGGGTTTTTATATTCATGGATTCACCAGCCATGCAATGGATTGGGAAACAATTCTTTACCCAAATAATACCAAGCCATTCGCGGCTTTCCGTCAGATTTTCCCACACCAACCACGTGATGATTTGATCGGCGAAAACTTCTATGGACTTCTCCAACGAATAACAAAGGGATTGGAACAACACATATTGAGTCGTCAATGATAATTTTAAAAACAACACTTTATAACACCGTGCCTTTTTTTCCAACTGAATGAACAATTATTTTTGAAAACACATTATATATGTCGCTGTTGTTTTTGAAAATGCCCGACTTCAAGCGACTAAAATGATGCGGATGTTTACC